GTTCTGGGCTACTGCTGTAAAGTGAAACAGCCTTTTTTCACTTTCATGTTTACACTATCATATATTAAGTGAGCAATTAAATCAAACCTAAAAAATGCATATACAGTACACACATTACTTACCTTAAAATATTTTCATTCTTAGTTTACAGTGAGTGGTGAATATATTTATTGTAGGAAGTCTGAATAATTAAAGAATGGGCATAATTGAAAACTGCTGCATTAGCAAAATGCTGTAAAGTGAAGCACTGTAAAGTGGGGGTCCTCCTATATTTCCTTACAGTAGTAATATAATAAAACATATGTGGAGTGTGATGTCTGTTGCTTTTCAAGGGTACAACATACAAGGTGTATGACCCTCTACTCCCAGTGGTGTGCAAGACTAATACAACTCAATATGGCTTAAGCTGTGGTTGGTCCTATACACCTCAAACAAACTATGATCTTTCAAGATCAGAATTTGCTTTGGCAGTTAAAGGCATAGGAATGTGTAAATATAATTTAATTACGATAAAGTACACCTGTAACACACTGGTGGTCATCTCAGGGCGCTTTTCCTAGTCTCTGCCTTGCTTCATCATGTACTAATGTCTGAGTTTACCAAGATATTACAGTTATCAGGATACTACAGTGGTCCTGAGAGTGACAGGCAGAGCATAGCGAAGAGAGCAAGACTGTGGAGCAGAGCCCAAGCAGAGAGTGTAACCAGAAAATTGAGCAGGAAGGTCTCCACCATTATTAATACAATTAAGTCAAGTGCTAAACCCGTAAGGATCACACGGCACTTCAGGGACACCACCATGAAGAGCTGTTAACTAACCCGAGACAACAGAGATCATCCGCTAGCCAGTAAGTACTATGGTAGTTTATCTAACCAACTGCTGTGTAATTGAAGTTCTGAATGTTAACTGTATTCATTTTCAGTCTTGTTGAAATTAAGAAACATGTGCAACATCTGGGTATCTTTATTGTGGACGTTTCGCCATCCAGTGGCTTTATCAATACAAATTCCAGGACATAATTTGTAGACAGTAGAACTATATACAGAAGATGAGGTAATCAGTCCCTCAGTCTGTCTTTGTCTATCTCTATCTGTCTCTGTCTGTTTGTCTATCTGTCTCTGTCTCTGGCTTTGTCTATCTGTCTCTGTCTATCTCTCTCAATCTGTCTATCTGTGTCTCACAGGTACACATAAATACAAGTATATGTAGTATAAATTACCTAGGATAACCTAAAAATCCAGACAAAGTGCTATACTCTGCTTGAAGATGTGATAAAGGTGATGACGCAGTCTTGTGGCTCTCTCTGAGACAGCTAGACCCATAGACAGACAGGGAGCTTGACAGACAGACAAACAGAAATGTTTGTGTACTAGCAAAAACAAAGCTAGGGGGATGGTCATCTAATCTTTTCTTATCAGCTGCACCCTCCCCCACCCTCGTTTACACTCATCAAACGTCAGCTCTTATTAGATGTTATCTCATCTTATCATGTCGTCTCCTCCTCCTCCTCCGTCTCCTCCGTCTCCTCCTCCTCCGTCTCCTCCTCCTCCTCTGTCTCCTCCTCCTCCTCCTCCTCCTCCGTCTCCTCCTCCTCCTGTCTCCTCCTCAGTCTCCTCCTCCTCCTCCGTCTCCTCCCCCTCCTCCTCCGTCTCCTCCTCCTCCTCCGTCTCCTCCTCCTCCTCCGTCTCCTCCTCCTCCTCCGTCTCCTCCTCCTCCTCCGTCTCCTCCTCCTCCTCCTCCGTCTCCTCCTCCTCCTCCATCTCCTCCTCCTCCTCCTCTTTATATACCAAGATAATAGTAAATGACCAAAGTGTAAATGTCCACCTCTCAGTGTGTTTGTGACAATTTCATTACCTAATACTAGTGTCAGAACAAAGATTGGTTAGAAAATGACAAGAACTACTACAAATTGTAATTATCAGAACATAAAAATTACATCAAATAATATGAAAAAAAAGGTATATCGGCAACACTTTTGCAAGCCACAGGACTCGATGTTGCTGTCACTTGAGCATCCAGTGCCAACTTCTTGGCCTCATATCTCAGTAAGTACTGACCCTAATTTTTTTTTTTATTCTAAAATACTTAGAAAAAGGTGCTCTTTTTTTCTATCAAAATAATCAGGGCGCAGCACAAGTGAGCGTATATATGTTTGGACCGTTTAAGGGTTAATTTTCAAATTATACAGTGGTCCCTCGTTTTTCGTAATTAATCCGTTCCTGGGGGAGCTACTACAAACGAAATTTACGATTTGCGAATCAATTTTCCCCATAAGAAATAATGTAAATACAATTAATCCGTTCCTGACACCCAGAAGTCTTAAAACAAAAAATTTTTTACATGAAATATATATATAGTACATAAACAATACAATGGGAAATGATGAATGAAACATTAACAGCATAACACTTACCTTTATTGGAGCTTCTTCTTAGTGTATGGGAGACTGGAGGAGGAGAGAGATTGGATTGTTTACAGTTTGGAAGGGGAATCCCCTTCCAGCAACACCTCAAGTACCAATTGCTTCTCTGGGGTTGCTTCTCTTCTCTGTTTCTTAATGCCACTAGGACCACCTTGAGAGTCACTCTAGTCCTGTGTCGCAAAGTAACTGTGGAGAGAGCTCTGTTTCTGGAGTCTCTTTAACACTTCCTTAAAATGGCCCAAGACTTTGTCACTGTACATATTTCTCACCTTCTTTACCACAGGCTTGGCACTAGGAGCTTTCTTTGGAGCCATGGTAGCTTATTTAGTAATTGCAAGCACTAAAATGAGTGGAATATTATGAAATATTTCGTAGGAGCACTTGAGGGGACCTTCACTCACTGGTAAACAATGCCAGACTGGCTGGGTAGGGAGGCCGCCCCGGCTCACACCGTGCGTACGCGTCCCGGACGAACTACTATTCGCGAGTCAACCTATGAAAAGCGAGTCCATGTTTATACATATATGTACAAGAATACCCCCATGATTGGCGAAATTTACGATTGCCGAGAACTACGAAAAGCGAGGGACCACTGTATTTGCTAAATTTATCAGAGTATTTAAAATAATAAGTATGTAAAAAGTAAGTGAAACAACAATAACTGTGGTAGACCATACTGTTGTTACCTAATAGCATCAAATTTGTTCTCACTACTTAACAATACCCAGCATGAATGTGACATCAGAAAAAAGCTAGTGCATGACTTCTGATTATGTGCACGAGTACAATGCTGGTGATCGCAAACGAGAATAGTGCTGGAGATTCTGTGCACCAAGGGTAAAGTTTGTGATGTAAACCAAATGATTTTGTGCACTAATGTAATGGTAGTGATTCTCTGCAACTCTTAACTATTTAATTAACCCTTAAACTGTCCAAACGTAGATTTGAAAGTATGTAAAAAACGTAGATTTTTTTTTTTTTACATTTGAAAATGCGTAAAAAAATTTGATCTACTTTTTTTTTTTTTATCTGAAAATATGTAAAATAACGTAGATCTACTACTGGAGCACTATGCATGTGAACGTAATTTTGTTTGGACAGTTTAAGGGTTAAACAAAAGTGTAAAAATAAACTTGACCAAATTTACATGAAACTTAACCTATTAACTGTGATGCAAATTTACACAGAGCATTAAACTTTGTGACATATATACACATACAAAATTTTTGTGTTCAAATATGCAGCAAGGCATCATTAAGGCCTCAGTTCAACTATGTGAGTCACCTACTACCTCCTCATGCCTTGGAAAATAATTTAAGTCCAGGCAGGTCCCACAGCATCACGGAGTAACACTGCCTGATGAGCACATGTATATAATGGTACACCAAAAAGAGAACTTTACTGCTAGTGAAATTAAGGGGACTTTTATACAAGGAGGCAACAGTACCATATGTAGTTCTATTTGGACAAATGTGCTCTTTTAAATTTTTATTTTTATAAAAAATTCCCCACACAGAGGTACCTAACAATGCATGCCCTCCCACAGTTAAAGGCTTAATAAATTAAACATAATTATGTGAACACATATACAAAAAAAATCTAAATTTAACCATATTTATAAAAAATTTATTAAGTCAAACATAACTATAGTATTTACAAAATACCGAACTGAGCAAGCCTAACCAACCATACTTAAGTTTGGAGAAAGTAGTCCCCCAACATAATCCACAAAATCCCCTAGCTTCGAGAAATGTACTGCATTTAACATTTATCCTCCAAATCGATTCTAACTACAGTCTTATAAACTAATATTATTCACTTAGTTCTATCTATAAAGGTTAGGTATGTAATATGGGCTTCATTCAACAATATGTTTTTTAACATGTTAACCGTCTCCTACCAAGGCAGGGTGACCCAGAAAAAGAAACACTTTCACCATCATTCACACAATCACTGTCTTTGCAGAGGCGCACAGATACGACAGTACAGATGTCACTCCAAATAGCAAATACCCCAAACCCCTCTAGTTTGAAGTGCAGGCATTGTACTTCCCACCTCGAGGACTCAAGTCCAGTTAACCGGTTTCCCTGAATCCCTTAACAAAATATTACCCTGCTCACACTCCAACAGCTCGTCAAGTCCCAAAAACCATTCGTCTCCACTCACTCCTATCTAACATGCTCATACACGCCTGTTCTATGTCCAAGCCCCATGCACACAAAACCTCTTTTACCCCCTCTCTCCACCCTTTCCTAAGATGACCCCTACATCTCTTCCCTTCCTCTACAGATTTATACACCCTCAAAGTCATCCTAGTTTGCTCAAACCTCTCTAAATGACCAAGCCACCTCAACAACCCCTACTCAGTCCTCCGAATAATACTTTTAGTAACTCCACACCTCCTAATTTCCACACTAGGAATATTTACAACACACATTGCCCTTAGACAAGACGTGTCCACTGACTTCAGCCGCCTCCTTGCTGCAACATTCACAATCCATGCTTCACACAGATGTAAGTGTTGGTACCACTATACTCTCATATATTCCCTTCTTTGCCTCCATGTGTAATGCCTTTTGTCTCCACAGATACCTCAATGCACCACCCACCTCTTTTCCTCCATCAATTCTCTTCATAAACCCATCTGCTGACAAGTCTACTCCCAAATATCTAAACACATTCAATTCTCCAATGTAATATCAAATTTTTCTTTACCTAACTCATTTGATACCCTCATCACCTTATTCTTATCTACGCTCACCTTCAACTTTCTTCCTTTACACACTCCCCACCTAACCTTCGTAACTTCTTTAGAATCTTCCCAAAGCATAGTACCATCAGCAAAAAGTAACTATGTCAACTCCCATTTTGTATTTGATTCCCCATAATTTAATCCCACCCCTTTCCCCAACACTCTAGCATTTGCTTCTTTTACAACCCCATCTATAAATATGTCAAACAACTATACTGTTTCCCAAAATTCACAGCAGGCATATGTAAGCCCATTAGACTGGAGTGAATGGAGATGAATGATTCTTGGGATTTGAAAGGCTTTAGAAGTGTGAGCAATGTGCAAGGTAACATTCATAAAGTGATTCAGTAAAACCAGTTAGCTGAACCAGAGTGCAGGAAATGAGAAGTACAGTGCCTGCAACTCTGAAAGATGGGTAAGGATGTTGCAATCTGATGGATCAGTTGAATTGTCATGTTCCTGTATATTGTCAAAACAAAGAGGGAATGAGTAATGGTGAATAATTGTTATACAGCGACATGCAAAAAAAATATTTTATATAACATAATTCCGGGAGTATATGAAAGTGGACGTGTATTATTCCCTGAAAGTGGATGCATTTTATTCTTGTCACAGGCAGAGTGGCCTGGACAGTAGCAGATGAGGTGTGTTTAGGCAGTAGGTTAAGCACAGCAGAGGAGGCGAGATGTAGCAGTCTTGAGTAGGTGGTATTGGGTAAGTTTTTTTTTTTTTTTTCAAAAATATATCTAGATTAATAGTAACTTATATACAACTTACAATCTACTCCAAAAAAAAACCCACCACACTCTAGTTCGCATTAGCTCACTAGCACACTGCTACTAATGAGTTAAAATATATAAACTGGGAGGCTTTATGACACCCCCCCTTCCTTCTTGCCAGTTACTTAGCCTACAGTTAAAATATTAAATGCTCTCCAAAATACAGGCCCTTGCACACACTAAGACTTTACAAATAAATGAGAGCACCAGAAAATACACAGAACAGAATACACTAAAAAAACCTTACCCAATACCACTTACTCAAGACCGCTACATCTTGCCTCCTCTGCTGTGTGTAACCTACTGTCTAAACACACCTCATCTGCTCCTGTCCTGGCCACTCTGCCCGTGACAGGAATAAAACGTGTCAGCTTTCAGGGAATAATACACGTCTGCTTTCAGTATACTCCCTGAACTATGTTATATAAAAATATTTTTTCTGCACATCACTGTGTAACAATAATAAACACACACAATACTACAGCACCAATTTCTTTTATTACTGCAACACATTCAGAATAAAGACTAAGATTTCTATACAGTATTTACAGCATTTACCTAAACAAGAATCTATGACCCATAAATGCCAAAATACTAGAAATCTGGAAGTTGGGCTATCATTCATGCAAGTGAAGCAATAACTATTTGCTTGCACATATATAACAGCATTCACTTAACTAAAACTAAGTGAGGTGAGGAAAGCCACCGGTCACGTTCAAGATGAAACAGCAGACCTGCACCATACCCGTCGTCGGAAGGGAAAGCAGCTCTTGCTGTCCTCAGGAGGAGGCAGGTCTAGTCTGAGGTCATTAGTAGGTGTATTGTTGGGTCCAAATTGGTTAAGCTCTTCAAAACACTTGGTATCAATCATCTGCAAATAGGGATCAATTCATAGGAAAGAGTAAAATGTTTAATAAGGAAGATAACAATGCTTGGTACATTTTACTCATTATACATTCATTGGAGAACCACTAAACTGAATGCTTCCCATTTCCCCAGGTGCTGTATCACTAAACTCTTTGCAGTGATACAGCACCTGGGGAAATGGGAAGCATTCAGATTTGAACAAAGGAAGGGAAACCCAGGTACAATACCTTAGACTTCTAAATTGCTTGCAGTTCTTTGTGAAACTATATTTTCTCCTCACTGCAAAATTTGCAATGCTATATCATTTAAGCTGTGTGAACTATTTTGAATATATAACAAGCAGAGCCTTGTCAACTTCACACAGGATACATACATGAGGGGTGTATTTCTCTCAGTGTATATATACTGAGAGTTTACTTTAATTTCTATTTAACTAATTAAAGTATTATTCTTGTCTGGTGGTGAAAACGTTACCATGCAGCCTAATGACCACAGTGAAGTCGATAGACTTTACACTTCATCAAGCAACAACCTTCATGCTTTCCCTTGCACTCATCACAGTATCACTAAAACATCCAGGATTTTTCTGCCTTTTTTTTCTTTTCTTGTCATTGTCTACACTACAATAAATTGCTTCTCTCCTATTCAAAAGGATTCTCTAAATTTATTTACTCCCAATCTATTCCAAGCCAAAAATTATGTTCTCACATCAATTTTTCAACAAATATACTACCTTCATATGCATTATATTTTAAAATTAAGCTTATATATCACTATAATCATATAGGTAGTAGGTTGGTAGACAGCAACCACCCAGGGAGGTACTACCGTCCTGTGGTAGTAGGTTGGTAGACAGCAACCACCCAGGGAGGTACTACCGTCCTGTGGTAGTAGGTTGGTAGACAGCAACCACCCAGGGAGGTACTACCGTCCTGCCAAGTGAGTGTAAAATGAAAACCTGTAATTGTTTTACATGATGGCAGGATTGCTGGTGTCCTCTTTTCTGTCTCATAAACATGCAAGATTTCAGGTACATCTTGCTACTTCTACTTACACTTAGGTCACACTACACATACATGTACAAGCATATATTTTTTTTTTTTTTTTTTTCAACAAGTCGGTCGTCTCCCACAGAGGCAGGGTGACCCAAAAAAGAAAGAAAATCCCCAAAAAGAAAATACTTTCATCATCATTCAACACTTTCACCACTCACACACATTATCACTGCTTTTGCAGAGGTGCTCAGAACACAACAGCTCAGAAGCACACACGTATAAAGATACACAACATATCCCTCCAAACTGCCAATATCCCAAACCCCTCCTTTAAAGTGCAGGCATTGTACTTCCCATTTCCAGGACTCAAGTCCGACTATATGAAAATAACCGGTTTCCCTGAATCCCTTCACTAAATATTACCCTGCTCACACTCCAACAGATCGTCAGGTCCCAAGTACCATTCGTCTCCATTCACTCCTATCTAACACGCTCACGCACGCTTGCTGGAAGTCCAAGCCCCTTACCCACAAAACCTCCTTTACCCCCTCTCTCCAACCCTTTCGAGGATGACCCCTACCCCGCCTTCCTTCCCCTATAGATTTATATGCTTTCCATATCATTCTACTTTGATCCATTTTTCTCTAAATGACCAAACCACCTCAACAACCCCTCTTCTGCCCTCTGACTAATACTTTTATTAACTCCACACCTTCTCCTAATTTCCACACTCGAATTTTCTGCATAATATTTACACCACACATTGCCCTTAAACAGGACATCTCCACTGCCTCCAACCGTCTCCTCGCTGCTGCATTTACCACCCAAGCTTCACACCCATATAAGAGTGTTGGTACTACTATACTTTCATACATTCCCTTCTTTGCCTCCATAGATAACGTTTTTTTGACTCCACATATACCTCAACGCACCACTCCCCTTTTTTTTCCCTCATCAATTCTATGATTAACCTCATCCTTCATAAATCCATCCGCCGACACGTCAACTCCCAAGTATCTGAAAACATTCACTTCTTCCATACTCCTCCTCCCCAATTTGATATCCAATTTTTCTTTATCTAAATCATTTGACACCCTCATCACCTTACTCTTTTCTATGTTCACTTTCAACTTTCTACCTTTACACACATTCCCAAACTCATCCACTAACCTTTGCAATTTTTCTTTAGAATCTCCCATAAGCACAGTATCATCAGCAAAAAGTAACTGTGTCAATTCCCATTTTGAATTTGATTCCCCATAATTTAATCCCACCCCTCTCCCAAACACCCAAGCATTTACTTCCTTTACAACCCCATCTATAAATATATTAAACAACCATGGTGACATTACACATCCCTGTCTAAGACCTACTTTTACTGGGAAGTAGTCTCCCTCTCTTCTACACACCCTAACCTGAGCCTCACTATCCTCTTAAAAAACTCTTTACAGCATTTAATAACTTACCACCTATTCCATATACTTGCAACATCTGCCACATTGCTCCTCTATCCACTCTATCATATGCCTTTTCTAAATCTATAAATGCAATAAAAACTTCCCTTTCTTTATCTAAATACTGTTCACATATATGCTTCAATGTAAACACCTGATCTACACATCCCCTACCCACTCTAAAATCTCCTTGCTCATCCGCAATCCTACATTCTGTCTTACCTCTAATTCTTTCAATTATAACCCTACCATACACTTTTCCTGGTATACTCAGTAAGCTTATTCCTCTATAATTTTTACAGTCTCCTTTGTCCCCTTTCCTTTTATATAAAGGGACTATACATGCTCTCTGCCAATCCCTAGGTACCTTCCCCTCTTTCATACATTTATTAAACAAAAGTACCAACCACTCCAACACTATATCCCCCCCTGCTTTTAACATTTCTGTCATGATCCCACCAGTTCCAGCTGCTTTACCCCCTTTCATTTTACGTAAATGCCTCACGTACCTCCCCCACACTTACATTCTGCTCTTCTTCACTCCTAAAAGATGGTATACCTCCCTGACCAGTGCATGAAATTACTGCCTCTGTTTCTTCCTTAACATTTAAAAGTTCCTCAAAATATTCTCGCCATCTACCCAATACCTCCATCTCCCCAAATCCATAAATGCAATAAAAACTTCCCTACCTTTATCTAAATACTGTTCACATAAATGCTTCAATGTAAACACTTGATCTACACATCCCCTACCCACTCTGAAACCTCCTTGCTCATCCGCAATCCAACATTCTGTCTTACCTCTAATTCTTTCAATTATAACCCTACCGTATACTTTTCCTGGTATACTCAGTATACCATATATATATGTATATATACACATCCTTCTGGGTTTTCTTCTATTTTCTTTCTAGTTCTTATTCTTGTTTATTTCCTCTTATCTCCATGGGGAAGTGGAACAGAATTCTTCCTCCGTAAGCCATGTGTGTTGTAAGAGGCGACTAAAATGCCGGGAGCAAGGGGCTAGTAACCCCTTCTCCCGTATAAATTACTAAATTTAAAAAGAGAAACTTTCGTTTTTCTTTTTGGGCCACCCTGCCTTGGTGGGATACGGCCGGTTTGTTAAAAAAAAAAAAAAATCACTATAATCTTATCAAATTCTACATTCTTCTCTTAAAATCCTTACCTGGATTGTTTATCCTCCATTGAGATATGCTTTACTCTAGCAACTCTTATGCTTGCTTGCAACACATATTTCCACTACATTTGCTTCTGTTCAGTTTTTTATACTTCAAATTCAAATAATTTTACTATTAAATTGTCCTAATATTTCAGCCCTTTAACTACCTACCAAATGAGTATCCTTTGGTATTCATGCTCCCTAATGATTTAGTCTGAATCCATAAAATGTACATAGCAATTCTTACATTCAAGTCATGAGAATAAAAAAAAAAATTCCCCAAATACATGACTGCCATCCATTTTCAAGGACAAGCATATACATTCAAATGCTTACACACTATGGAACTGGGTGTTAAAAGGAAGGTTGTCTATAAGATAATCAACGTTGTTTGGATGTTACGTATTATTTCTCAATTAGGTGGAATACCCTAACACACTGCATTACAGTTCACACTATTATTATTATTATCATCGTCATTGTTGTTTGTTTTTGAGCATCAAGCTGATTAAATTTGGTGTTTTCTCGTCTAAATAAAATAAAAATTACCTCCTGTTGCCAAGGGATCGAGACAGACCCAGTGTTGAATCTGGAGTAAAACGAGTCATCCGTAGCATCAAGGTTGACACCCTTCACAGTACTAAACTGCTCGATGTCCAACACATCCTTGGCATATACTGCATGGGGCTAAAAATATAGAAAGCTCAAAAAATAATAATGTACACATCAATAATCCTTAAATTTTCATTAAAATTTTATAATATGGTAGATTGTAAATTAAAACAAATAGACTGCATGATTTAGAAATTGTAGCAGAAAAAATATAGGATGGGAAAAGGATCGATAATAATGAACACTGTAAAGTAGGAAAGAATTAATCTAGATGCAAAGTTGGGGAAGCTCACACTGTGTATAGTTTCCCTCTGGCTCACTGAGCTTATGGGTGAATAAAGAATGGTAATTGTTTTGTTTTGAGAGGAGGCACAGCACCTCTCTCCTCCACCTGCAGTGCTACCTATGCCACCAGCTGCCATTTGGTAGCATCACATGTGGTAATGTTTCTTGTGTTTATCAACTGATTTTGGCATTTGCAACATCTGTCATGTGGCTAGGTAGCATTAAATTAGATTAAACACTGATTTTCAGAAGCATAATACCTAGAGAGAAGTGGTATAAAATGCTGACACAGTGAATAAAGACAGATGCAATATATCATAATATGCTAGCTGAATGTAGGTAGTAGGTTGGTAGACAGCAACCGCCCAGGGAGGTACTACCATCCTGTCAAATGAGTGTAAAACGAAAGCCTGTAATTGTTTTACATGATGGTAGGATTGCTGGTGTCCTTTTTTCTGTCTCATAAACATGCAAGATTTCAGGTACGTCTTGCTACTTCTGCTTACACTGAGGTCACACTACACATGTACAAGCATATATATACACACAACCCTCTGGGTTTTCTGCTATTTTCTTTCTAGTTCTTGTTCTTGTTTATTTCCTCTTATCTCCATGGGGAAGTGGAACAGAATTCTTCCTCCGTAAGCCATGCGTGTTGTAAGAGGCGACTAAAATGCTGGGAGCAAGGGGCTAGTAATCTCTTCTCCTGTATAAATTACTAAATTTAAAAAGACAAACTTTTGTTTTTCTTTTTGGGCCACCCTGCCTCGGTGGGATACGGCCGGTTTGTTGAAAGAAAGAAAGAAGAATGCTAGCTGAATGGACCACTTGAACAATGACTGTGTTTCACACACAAACTCCCACAACCACCTGTTCAATTACAATGACGCATGACTCACTGTCAAAGAAGATACGTACTTCAAAATGCAGGATTCTAGAATCATCACTAATCAACACATCCAACAGCTTCAAGCAGAAATATAGTTTATACAACATAACTGAGCCTCTTTCCAGGAAACTTCTTTCTTATCATCCTACACAGCTACACTGCAGCAAGACTACTGGCCCTAGATAGGCAGGTCTTTCTTGAATCCAAGAAGTAAACTTCAATTCATCTGACTCTTAACATCACTACATTATATATTTTTGTTTTAACACATTGGCTGTTTCCCAATGAGGCAAGGTGACCCAAAAAGAAAGAAAAAACTTTCATCATTATTCAACACTTTCATTATCACTCATACGTAATCACTGTCTTTGCAGAGGCACTCAGATACAACATTTTAGATGTCCCTCCAAACTGTCAATATCCCAAAACCCTCCTTTAAGTGCAGGCATTGTACTTCCCATTTCCATGACTCATGTCCAGCTAACCGGTTACCCTGAATCCCTTCACAAAATATTACCCTCCTTACACTCCAACAGCTCATCAGGTCCCAAAAACTGTTTGTCTCCACCCACTCCTATCTAACATGCTCATGCACACTTGCTGGAAATCTAAGCCCCTCGCCCACAAAACCTGTAATATACTGAATCTTGGACTGAAATTTATAACAGTACAATATGTGCAATAGCAAGATATGTATGAAAATACTGGCCCTGGGGAAGATAATCTGAAAAGCTCAGGCATGAAAATGCTCCATTCAAAGACTTTTATGGCCTGGTTCAATACTGTACATGCTGTGGTAAAATGGCTGATAAAATAAACAGATCCTAGGTAGTAGACTGGTAGACAGTAACTGCCCAGGGAGGTACTACTGTCTTACCAAGCGAGTGTAAAACAGAAGCCTGTAATTGTTTTACATGATGGTAGCATTGCTGATGTCATTTTTCTGTCTCAAAGATTTCAGGTACGTCTTGCTACTTCTGCTTACACTTAAGTCACACTACACATGCATGTACAAGCATATATATACGCACACACCCCTTTGGGTTTTCTTCTATTTTCTTACTTGTTCTTGTTCACATTTATTTCCTCTTATCTCCATGGGAAAGTGGAACAGAACTCTTCCTCCATAAGCCATGCATGTTGTAAGAGGTGACTAAAATGCTGGGAGCAAGGGGTTAGTAACCCCTTCTCCTGTATATATTACTAAATTTAAAAGGAGGAACTTTCATTTTTTCTTTTGGGCCACCCTGCCTCGGTGGGATAAGGTTGGTTTGTTGAAAGAAGAGAAAATAAACAGATGACTCGTATGTTTGCCTCTCCTTAGTCATATAACCATCTCTACGAATTTCTCTATAACAAGGAAGAGAACAAGGAATTTAACCCTATCAGTGGCTGTTATACAGAACTATGTCACTGAAGTCAGGTCTCTCATGTAGTTCTATGTCAAGAGCTCAGCTCACTCAGAAAGCTGTGAGCAGTAATTTTGGTCAAGATATGAGAGAATGAGTCTGTGCAGCGAGTGTGCACAGCATAAAAATATATCCTGCCCCACATGGTGCATGATGGGAAAAACAAAACTCTGACCATGCTTGGTTTAAAGCAGCGACTTTGACGTGTATCCTAGGATTGTTCTGCTGGCTTTACTGGCTGTTTCTTGGTATCATTTGATACAATGCAAGGAATACTACTGAAATAAGGAATGATTTTGGTTAGTTTCAGGACTGAAAGTAGTTTGAAACTGGGCTCAATGTAGCAGAAATATTTGATTTTTTGCTGAGTTTCCTGATGGAAAAGGCTTCCTCTACATCAAGTCTGTTTTATGGGTTTTTAATAGGTATTATTCAATTATTGGGATTCTGTAAACCATGACTAATCATTCGTGGTTATATTTTATTATCTGGGAAATACAGTAAATCTTTTATTTTTATGTGATTACGAATTCAAAATGGAAGGCAAGTGTAATACAGGAGAGACCTGGGGATGTGATTAATGAAAAGAGGAAATGTTTTAGTTCCAGGAATGTCTACATTGTTTATTTTGCACTCTAATTTTAAACTGGATCAAAGTTGAATGACATGGAGAGCATATAAATCTGTAGGGGAAGGAAGGCGGGGTAGAGGTCGTCCTCGAAAAGGTTGGAAGGAAGGGGTAAGGGAGGTTTTGTGGGCGAGGGGCTTGGACTTCCAGCAGGCGTGCATGAGCGTGTTCAATAGGAGTGAATGGAGACGAATGGTATTTGGGACCTGACGCTCTGTTGGAGTGTGAGCAGGGTAATATTTAGTGAAGGGATTCAGGGAAACCGGTTATTTTTATATAGCCGGACTTGAGTCCTGGAAATGGGAAGTACAATGCCTGCACTCTAAAGGAGGGGTTCAGGATATTAGCGGTTTGGAGGGATATGTTGTGTATCTTTAAATGTACATGTGTATGCTTCAAAACTGTTGTGTTCTGAGCACCTCTGCAAAAACAGTGATTATGTGTGAGTGAGATGAAAGTGTTGAATGATGACGAAAGTATTTTCGTTTAGGGATTTTCTTTCTTTTTGGGTCACCCTGCCTCGGTGGGAGACGGCCGACTTGTTAAAAAAAAAAAATTAAACTGGTACTCTTTTTAGTTTTGTGCAAAATACTCCAAACTGCAAAGTTCTGTGCACTTTGCAGGGTAGTTGTAATAAGTGAATGGGCAGTTTCTTGTGCTCAATCAATAGACAGAAGGCATACTAGCAAAATAGCTAAGAATTTGGTCGAATGGACAATGGAATCGACTCAAAATAGAACTCATATTTGGCAAAATCATCAATGCACAAATAGAGCCCAGAATGTTAACTTTGCATCTGCATAATTCCATAAGTTTCCCTATCAAATTTCGTATTTTTTTAATAACATTGCCTTCAGAAAAAGATTCTCTACCATTTCAGAAGAAAAACTACTTTATTTTATAAAGGCGAACACAGGGAGCAATATTAATTTCAGGGGTCTGAACAGTGAAAGGGTCAAGGTAGGATAAAATTCTTCCATGTCAATATAAAAATTATATTTTTTTATAATGAAATACATGATGCTCGGCTACCTACTGCTAAAAAGGAGCTACAACCTCCAAAACACTTTTTTTTTATGCAAAAAGAACAAATAATTTATGGTAGGGTAAATTTTTTTCAGCATATTTTAAACTGATACAGTTGAATGTTAAATTTATAATAGTCACCAGTGGCATATTATCCTCTCCCCTCTTCCTGTAGAAGAAATAGACCAGTACACTGTCTCAAACACCAGCTTCCCCTATCCTTTAGTTAAGCAAGTTAATTTACTAAGCATCTGACTCACGAAATTGTAATGACATGATTGCAAACAAACCGTACCACAGGCAGGAACTGAACTCATGGCAAGTGAGTTGCAAAGCTCAAGGCTAGCGTGTAAGCCACTGGGTCAGCTGGCTACAATAAGACTCATTTAACTAGGTATATTTATACACCTGTGCTAACTTCTGTATGGCGTATAAATACAGTGGTACCTTGACTTATTAGTGCCTCAACTTACAAGTTTTCCGAGTTATGAGCCATCACTCAGTCGATTTTTTGCTTTGAGTTGCAAGCCAAAAAACCGAGTTACGAGAAAAAAAAATATTTACACACAAAAAAAAATATTTACTGAAAATGACATCTGACAAGAACCCCGGCCTAAATGGCACAACGAAAGGTGGTTTTAAGACCTTATGAAACAATACTAGTGCGATGTTCTCACTGGAGGTAACTGTGTAACTTTTTTTTTTTTTTTTTTTTCAACAAATTGGTCATCTCCCACCGAGGCAGGGTGACCCAAAAAAGAAAGAAAATCCCCAAAAAGAAAATACTTTCATCATCATTCAACACTTTCACCACACTCACACATTATCACTGCTTTTGCAGAGGTGCTCAGAATACAACAGTTTAGAAGCATATACGTATAAAGATACACAACATATCCCTCCAAACTGCCAATATCCCAAACCCCTCCTTTAAAGTGCAGGCATTGTACTTCCCATTTCCAGTACTCAAGCCCGACTATAAGAAAATAACCGGTTTCCCTGAATCCCTTCACTAAATATTACCCTGCTCACACTCCAACAGATCGTCAGGTCCCAAGTATCATTCATCTCCATTCACTCCTATCTAACACGCTCATGCATGCTTGCTGGAAGTCCAAGTCCCTCGCCCACAAAACCTCCTTTACCCCCTCTTTCCAACCCTTTCGAGGACGACCCCTACCCCTCTTTCCTTCCCCTATAGATTTATATGCTTTCCATGTCATTCTACTTTGATCCATTCTCTCTAAATGACCAAACCACCTCAACAACCCCTCTTCTGCCCTCTGACTAATGCTTTTATTAGCTCCACACCTTCTCCTAATTTCCACACTCCGAATTTTCTGCATAATATTTACACCACACATTGCCCTTAGACAGGACATCTCCACTGCCTCCAACCGTCTCCTCGCTGCTGCATTTACCACCCAAGCTTCACATCCATATAAGAGTGTTGGTACTACTATACTTTCATACATTCCCTTCTTTGCCTCCATAGGTAACGTTTTTTGACTCCACATATACCTCAAACGCACCACTCACCTTTTTTCCCTCATCAATTCTATGATTAACCTCACCCTTCATAAGTCCATCCGCCGACACGTCAACTCCCAAGTATCTGAAAACCTTCACTTCTTCCATACTCCTCCTCCCCAATTTGATATCCAATTTTTCTTTATCTAAATCATTTGATACCCTCATCACCTTACTCTTTTCTATGTTCACTTTCAACTTTCTACCTTTACACACATTCTCAAACTCATCCACTAACCTTTGCAATTTTTCTTTAGAATCTCCCATAAGCACAGTATCATCAGCAAAAAGTAACTGTGTCAATTCCCATTTTGAATTTGATTCCCCATAATTTAATCCCACCCCTCTCCCGAACACCCTAGCATTTACTTCTTTTACAACCCCATCTATAAATATATTAAACAACCATGGTGACATTACACATCCCTGTCTAAGACCTACTTTTACCGGGAAATATTCTCCCTCTCTTCTACACACCCTAACCTGAGCCTCACTATCCTCATAAAAGCTCTTTACAGCATTTAGTAACTTACCACCTATTCCATAAACTTGCAACATCTGCCACATTGCTCCTCTATCCACTCTATCATATGCCTTTTCTAAATCCATAAATGCAATAAAAACTTCCCTACCTTTATCTAAATACTGTTCACATATATGTTCACATATATGTAACTATCTTTCATTATTTTACAAAAAAAATAAAGTTGATAAGTTTTTGACATTTGCAAAATACAGTGGACCCCCGACATTCGATACTAATGTGTTCCTGAGAGCCATCGAATGTCAAAAATATCGAAAGTCGAATTAATTTTCCCCATAAGAAATAATGGAAATCAAATTAATCCGTGCAAGACACCCAAAAGTATGAAAAAAAAACTTTACCACATGAAATATTAAGTTTAATGCAATAGAATAATTACAATAACAACAATAACAATAGATTAATAACAATAGAATAATTGACACTTACCTTCAATGAAGATCTGGTGATGATTGATGGGATGGGAGGAGGGGAGTGTGGATGGTGTTAGTGTTTAGAAGGGGAATCCCCTTCCATTAGGACTTGAACTGGCAGCCTCACCATACCTTACCACACTGTGTATGCCACTAGGATTCTTAAATCTTTCAAACCAACCTTTGCTGGCCTTAAATTCACTCACATTACCACTAGTTGCAGGCAATTTCTTTACTAAATCATCATGCACTCCGACACACGCACTGCACTTTCGTACTTTGCAATTATCTCTTTCTTCATTTCAATAGTCATTAGCACCTTTTTTCTCAAAGGGTTGGCACTAGAAGCTTTCTTGGGGCCCATGGTTACTTATTTTGCAGAAATAAGCACCAAAAACAGTGATAATATGGATAATATGAAATGTACCGAATGTATCCTTAGATGCACGCACACTGGCTGGCTTGTAAACACTGGCACACACGGGGCAGTTCAGGCCACACATGGACACGTCTCGTACAAATCGTATCGAATATCAGGTTTTCCATCGAATGTCGAGGCGAAATTTTGCGTTAAAATGCATTGAATGTTGGATTTATCGAATGTCGATGCCATCGAATGTCGGGGGTCCACTGTATCTTGCTCTTTACTCCCACACAAATCCCAAAATATTTGGAATATTTTCAATATTCCACAAGCCAATTGTATAACAATCATTTTTTATGATTCCTGTCAATATTATTGCATTTACTTCAATAATAAATGGTGGGGTTCATGAAATAAGTCAATAACTTACTTCCAAGATATTCATATATCATTGCACTAGTAATCTAGTGCAGTTAGCCTCTCAAAATCTCCGTTTTCTCTTGCCCAGGACCAAAGAACACAGTATAGGAAGGAGCAGTAGTAATATTATATGCACGGACTGGTCCTGGACACTTGCTATATTATGGCCTATTTTATTCATTCTAGAGTGTACATCATGTTTCTGTTACTTAGTGTTTATTATGTCATATTAGATCAATTCTGAGCGATAAATAAGCCATAGAGTTGATATTAGTGTTATAATGATGTATTTTCTCCTGCCCCTGGGGTGGTGTTTTGGGGGATGTAACGGATTAATGGCATTTCAATTAATTTCAATGAGGAAAATTGATTTGATATACAAGCAAATTGAGTTAAGAGCTTGGTCACGGAATGAATTAAACTCGTAAGTCAAGGTACCACTGCATACCTAGTTGAATGAATCTTATTGTAGCCAGCTGGCCCAGTGGCTTATAAGCTGGCCTGGAGTTTAACAAATCACTCGCCATGAGTTCAATCCCCACCCATGGTATGGTTTACTAAGTACAGTGGACCCCCGGTTAACGATTTTAATCCGTGCAAGAGGGCTCATCGTTATGCGAAATAATCGTTATGCGAATGAATTTTCCCCATAAGAAATAATGGAAATAAAATTAATCCGTGCAAGACGCCCAAAAGTATGAAAAAAAATTTTTTTTACCACATGAAATGTTAATTTTAATACACACAAACTGAAAAAGGCATGCACAATTAAATGACACTTACTTTTATTGAAGATCTGGTGATGATTGATGGGATGGGAGGAGGGGAGAGCATTATCTTCTTACTGTTTAGAAGGGGAATCCCCTTCCATTAGGACTTGAGGTAGCAAGTCCTTTTCTGGGGTTACTTCCCTTCTTCTTTTAATGCCACTAGGACCAGCTTGAGAGTCACTGGACCTCTGTCGCACAACAAATCTGTCCATAGAGCTCTGTACCTCCCGTTCCTTCAAGACTTTCCTAAAATGGGCCATAACATTGTCATTGAAATAGTCACCAGCACGGCTTGCAACAGCTGTGTCAGGGTGATTTTCATCTATAAAGGTTTGCAGTTCAACCCACTGTGCACACATTTCCTTAATCTTTGAAGTAGGCACAATGGATTCCACAACTGGCATAGGCTTCTCAGGGTTAGCCCCAAACCCTTCAAAATCTTTCTTAATTTCCATACTAATTCTCACCCTTTTTACCACAGGGTTGGCACTAGAAGCTTTCTTGGGGCCCATGGTCACTTATTTTCCAGAAACAGCACCGAAAACACTGTAATAATACGAAATATTCCGAGTGTATGCTTGGATGTTACCGCGGAGGCTGGCTGGTAAACAATGGGACGGCCGGCACATGTGAGGGCACATTGGACGCGTCTCGGACGAAAATCGGTAAGCGGGTTTTTAATCGGTATGCGCGGCAAAAATTTTGCGATAAAAGTAATCGGTATGCGGAAAAATCGCTATGTGATGCCATCGTTATGCGGGGGTCCACTGTATTTACAGCCTCTCCTCACTTAGGGACATACTAATTTACCGACGCCTCGGAGTTACGACAGGCTCTCTGACCAATATTCATTCCTAAATGTATATTAGAGCTGATTTCCTCTATTCTGTTTATTTCATTATACAGTACACTACTGTATAAACATTTAAAAATATACCAGAAATGTTATAAATGGTGCACAGGTGACATTATAACAATATCAAAGATGGTCGACACAAACTCACTACCATTATAGTATGCTCCTCACTTAGCTATGAATTCATTTAACGATGTGGTCTCAGAAACTGAACTTCGTTGTTAAGTGAGGAGAGGCTGTATTTAGGCTCAGGTTATATCTGGGACTGGTTTCCCATGAGCTGTCCTACACTCACAGCCTGGTTATGGGCCAGGCTTGTTTGGTACTTGCCTGGTCAACCAATCTGTTACTGTTGGTGGCCCACTTGTATATAACAAACATTTCTAGATCAACAAACATTTACAATGTAAGGTGTCAAAAACTCTACTCTTTTTGGCAAAATAAAAATTAAAAAATACCTGTTTGGTGTTATTATAGGTATCAACAACACTCCCCACTTATCCTAAAACACAATGGACAAAAATACGATGGACAAGTTGTGTAAGAACTTGTCCAAACGTAGATCTACGTCCACATGCAGGGAAGGGGGGGTTCTCCGAATGTAGATCTACCTTTTTTTTACATGCTTTCAAATGAGGAAAATGAAGGTCGGAGTGCAACGCATGTGAATGTAGATCCACATTTGGACAGTTTAAGGGTTAAAATAAGAAGAGCTGTTATACAAGGACCAAGTGTACTCATAACCAGGAAGAAAAAATGGCTTAATGCAATAATTACATCTGTAACTTACATCTGGGACAAATGGAGGTTTACACATTCCGGCCTCTAATCTTTTCCAGTTTACTGTTTTATAGAACTCATGTGCCTTAACTTCTACAGCGCCATGTCGACCTCTTGAGCACCCTAATCGTTCTCGCACATTCTTCTTTAACAACTGTGAATACGGTACAATGAAACACTTATTAGTTTTTATATTTAATGTACATCAGCAATCTACACTCATTACTTTTAAAAGCATTGTTACTACAGTTGTGGAGCTGTTATTTTATCTATTAATGTGAAAATGAATTTTCTAACATCATTTGAAATTTAGGAATTAGAACCACAAACTCTGAGCAAGCATATGGGATGTTAACTCTTTCACTATCGGTGCTGTAATAATACAGCTTGCAAGCTAGTGTCAGTGCCGTAATATTACTCCAAAATTTTAGCAGCTTCAAATCTTGCAGGAGAAAGCTGGTAGGCCTACACATGAGTGAATGGGTCTAAGTGGTCAGTGTGCACAGTATAAAAAAAAACCTGCAGCATGCAGTGCACGATGAGGGGAAAAAAAAAAACTGACCATGTTTTTGGTTTAAAACACCGACTTTGTAGTGTATTTTCGTACAGTATTTATGGTTGTATTCTTGTTTTCTTGGTCTCATTTGATAGAATGGAAGATATGTTACAGAAACAGAGATGATTTTGAATGGTTTACAGACTAAAAGTGCCTTGAAATTGAGCTCAAAGTAGAGGAAATGTTCGATTTTTGCTGATGTTCAAGAGTAAACAAATCACGTCACACATCCAATACACGTCAACTGGTGGGTCTAATACGCTTTCACAAATGCTCTGATATTATTTATACCATTTTTACAATAATGCAGTAGTCTGCATAACAGTAAATCTTCTATTTTTTGTGAGAATAAAAATTCAAAATGGAAAGCAAGTGTAATATAAGAAGAGCCTGGAGACATGACCAGTGAAGAAAGAAAATGTTATTTTAGTGCTAAGAATGTCTGTATTGTTAATTCTGGACCCTATTTTGAAACTGGCCTTACTTGAATTGTGTATGAAATTGGCCAAATTACCAATTTCTGATCACTTTACTGGGTAGCTGAAATCAGTTAATGGGCACTTTCTTGTACTCAATTGAAAGGACAAACGAAATTCTAGTGAAATAGCTAAGAGTTTGGTCGACTGTAGCATGGAACTGGCCGAAAATAGGGCTCAAAGTGGGCGAAATCGCCACTGCGTAAATCCTGTCAAGATTGCTAACTTCGCGAGAGCGTAATTCCGTAAGTTTTCCATCAAATTTCATACTTTTGGTGTTATTAACATCGGGAAAAGATTCTCTATCATTTCACAAGAAAATTTTTTTTTTTTTTTTTTAAATTCTTCGACACTAAGAGCAAGTTTGTGAGCAGGGGTCTCAACAGTGAAAGGGTTAAGCTATATGGCTAAACCAAACATTCCTCACCTTAAGATTATAGCAAAATAATGAACAAAGACCAGTAAACATTACAGAGCCTGTATCTTAAGCAAACTTACCTATTAAAAACTGCTTGCATCCACAGACTAGCTAATGGCAGACACCCAAAATTTTGAAAGCAAGGCAGAGTGACCATTACTCTACCATACCAAAAGGGCAAAGACAATACAATCTAATGTTAACTTGACAGACATTGTCATCCCTCACCAGACTTTCAGAGTGTTAACATGCAGAATGTACCTTTACAAATGCTTGGAGAAAGGAATTAACTGACTTGTTAATTGGTACATTTTGGACAAATTTCCTCTTGACATGCTTGTGCTTGTCAACAAAATTCAAGTAAACTCAAGAACCAAATGTCTGCCTAACTTTACAATCACAAAAATCTAAATGATAAATTAACACAAGACAAAATAACTTACTTGCTGACATATTAATTTAGCTTCCTCAGAAAATTTGTGTGAATATGTTTCAGGTTGTTCTTTAACCCGTCGATCAACCTCCTCTCTTTTTACCTGAAGAAAAACTAACAATTAGTTATTTCAACTGAAGTTCTAAAACAAAATTGTATTGAGATAATGAACACACAAGCTAAAATATCATCATTCAAATTAGATATGAGCTTAACAATTGTTAGCTAGTAATATTTTTGTCACTATCAATACTGTGGCTCTGAATACTGAGATATGCAATCAATGGAGGAAAGATATCTCAACAATGTGCCAAGTGCAAAAATTGGCATTGGATACAACCTCCTTTATCTCAGTGACACTGGAAACTGTAACAATATTGCTAGATAAATTGTCTATGCATGAGTCTTAAAAATCCCCCCCCCCCCAAAAAAAAAAAGGTCTCTTATAATTTCTACACTTAATTCATATCTTAAAAATTAAATGAAAAATTTAATGAAAATTCCCAGCAACTTTCCAAATTCATCTTTTCAACAAGCTATGCAAATTGCTACCGTATACAACAAACGGCTTCATCAAAAAAATGAAATTTCCTGAAATACTGGACCAGCATTTAGGGTAATATCTGAACAAGATGCATGCTCAAAAATATTAAATTAATAATACCAATTATATAGCTGCACTCAACTTCAAAGAGTGAGCCAATTTAGACAAAAATTTAATTTTAATATACAGTGCATAAATCATTGTCTTACCAGTTCTTCAAACTTAAAAAAAAGCATAGGAGAAACCCGACAATGCCAATTCAGGAAACTTGTTAGCTGACAGATGAAAAAGTGAACCAACAAAAGAACGTAAGCCAGTAGCATGGCTTCCTACCAGTCTGCACCAAAATACTATATAGCGTATTATACATAAGCACTGTTTCAGTTGCTAAATAAAAGATTGTACTTTTCATAAAGTCTAAGTGCTTAGCATGTATTTTACTTGTATATCAGCCAAAGCAACACAAGGTTTTCCAGAAAACATTTTGTGCACTGTTGTTAGATCTCCAACACTCATATGTATAAAATGTCCTCTGAGAACTATTTGAGGAGTTTACCTGCATCACCATGCTCACAAAGCTGCAAGTGGTACATAACCAATGTTGCAATGATTGCAAAAGGATGATAGAGAAGGGATCAGTGGATTTTCTACAAAACCAATGTAGATATATTTTGAGGAAAGTTTTAATGAATAAGAAACAATAATAAATAAGCATGTTTGGTTTCACATTTCATAAGTGATACCACAATTCATGGGTATTATTTAGCTCTGAAGACATTTATTTTAATAAATATTTTATAAAGTAAATTATATTATTATTATTTAAATCATGGGAAACTATATTAAATAAAACAAATCATTTTCCATTTATCTATTTTTGGTGCCTTTTTCCAACTGGGAACTTCCACTTCCCATATCAGTGCCATTCAACTGCCTTCAAGTGCACATCTACAGCAGCACTTGCAACATTTGAAGGAACAGTTGGAATATTTGAAGGCGCACTTGCAGTCTTTGAAGGAGCACCTGCAATATTGGAAGAAGCCTAGCAACATCTGAAGCACCACTTGAAACATATGCAGGAGTAAATTTGTAACACTTGCAACATCTTAAGCACATGCAACATCTGAAGGAACATTTGCAAACTTTTAATGAACATTTGCAACATCTGAAGGAACATTTGCAAACTTTTAATGAACATTTGCAACATCTTATTAAAAAATGAATGAATAATTGAATTTTTTTAAGAAATATCTGCAACAATTGTAAGAGTTTCACATGTTGATTTGGCTGTCACATACATGAATATCACCACTTGTTTATATGGAGAAACAAGGATGGGTGATAAGACTGCTTCAGCAAGCACACACAAGGGAAGCAGAGAAAAGAAAACAAAGATAGGCAAATGTAAAGGAAGAAGGCCAAAGAGTAAGAAGAAAAACTGTATTCAATAAAAAAAAAAAAAAGCAAAGTAGAGAGGGATAAAATTGATCATACTACTAAATAGAACTGTTAAAAAAGTATATCCAGAGAAAAGAATAAACTGGAGAAAGTGTATCCAGTTTGTTTCCCCCCCATTCCCCAATGGTAGCACTTCTATACATGTCAGAGGCCATCTCCTTCACTACATAAGATAACATCACAAGATGTGTAAGATATTTAATAATGTGTTAGTGCAGACTGTTGTTCAGTACAGAATGAAATAATCAATACTTCTCTGTGATATTACTGCAATGGACGATAAAGTAATGTGCCAAATGCTGAAATGGGATTATATGAAAAGTGAGAGGCAAGTTTCATGCAGTTAAGCGTGAGAACATCAACAGAGGTGTGTGTAGCAAAACAAGTGACCAAATGCACTGAAAGTGATGCAGTGACAAAGCTATACTGTGATATAGAGAATACAAATTACAGTGGCAATAGACTACTTAGTGTAAAGGTCAGGTGTGTGGAGGTGATGGTGATAAGATCATGAAGATCACATGTAGTCAAGTGACACATCAGGGCTGAACAATATCACGTGTCCAACTGTCCAGGATAAGTTTTTATGAGAGTTGGACAAGTAAATTCTAGGTTCAACTTGTCTGTACAGACAAGTGCCTCTTAAGGATTGCTCAAGTGTCTTTGTATGAATAGCAAATCTTTGCTGCAATTATAGGTTGACTTAAAACAAATACAAAGAACACTGACAATCATTTAACATAATATAATAGCTAAAGGTCTTGGGCAATACAAATCTCCTCTTGGACATGTAAAATTTTACCGTGACTTTCACCCTGGACAAGTAGTGCCGAGCCCTTAATGTTCACCCTTGGAGATTTATGGAAGGATGCACTTGTGTTGACCAGATCTTCATCAAGAGAATGCTTGTTGCAAAAATGCTGGAAAAGTAAGAGAGAGTATATGCAGCATTTATTTATCTGGATAAAGTATACAGACAGAATGGGTGTGATTAGGGTTCTCCCCAAAGACTGCAACAATGGCACTACAACCTCCACACCAATTATTACCATATGTCAAACCTTGTTTCACATCATTACAAGTTTCTTACATCTGCCTTGAAAAGAAATACTAATTATTTAAGAGATGTAATTTAATAATAATCAAAGCAGTACATAAAAAAATAAAGAGAGGGTAAAGTTTGTATAAAATAAGCAAACTGTGTTTCAGCTTTCAGACTAATTCAGTGCCATCTTGTTCCAAATTCCTAGTGAGAACCCTGTACTCAAGGGCACAATTGGGAGGGGAGGGGGGACTACATTTATCTGCCAATGGCATGCCACAAGCACACCTGAATAGTCTCTCACACAATGAAATAGGGTCTGTGCCAAATCAGGACCCTGGAAAGCTTTTACAAGTTGAAAATATGTACTGTAATTAAGGCATTAAGATGTAACATTAGAAGTCATTATTATTCCAATAAATGACACATGTAAACTTTGTTTTGGCACAAATCTTTAATGGTCATATGTACACAGCATAAACAGATTATCTTAAAATAAAGAAACTCAAGATTGAGGGTAGATTCAAGTACATGGGAAAGCTAAGAATACAAAAATCTACTGTTAAGAGAAACGTCTGAATATATGATGACATGCAAGTACCAAGGTGCTTCAAAGAAACATCAGTGGCTCATGATACTTAGGGAAGTTAATGTTTAACATTTTTCCAGAAAACTTTCAAAATGGTGTGCAAGACATTATTTTCTTGTTAAAGATATGACATGCAATAAGACTATTCTACAAAAAAATAGCTGATTGTGACGTGAATGCAAAATATGCAGTTCTATAAGTGAAAGCAGTGTAAATGTAGAAGTACTGAAATATGTGGAGTTTATGTAACTGGAATGGGTGTGGCTGACAAAAGAAGACTGGGCAAGATGAAAGTGAAATAAATTAAGAACGGAAAATGGTTGGTACAGAAAGCTCTGGTTAGGAAGAACAAGACAAGAAGGGAAGCACCCTAGAGGACTTAATGAAATAGTAATCTAAATCAAATATATAAGGTACGAATTATTGGTGTAGCATCTCAAGTATGTATTAAAATCAGAGCTCAAGCATCTATAAATACAAAATACATTTAAGGAACACAAAGTATTTTTTTTTAACACAGCAGACTCCCACCAAGGTAGGGTGACCCAAAAAAGAATAAACACTTTCACCTTCATTCACTATCAATGTCTTGGTAGAAGTACACCAATACTACAGTTCAGATGCCCCTCCAAACTGCAAATATCCCTGCCCATCCTTCAGAATGCAGGCACTGTACATCCCACCTCCAGGACTCCAGCTAACTGGTTTCTCTGAATCCCTTCAAAAACTGTTACTTTGCTCACACTCCAATAGCTCATCAAGTCCCAAAAACCATTTGCCTCCACTCACTCCTATCTAACACATTCACACACACCTGCTGGGTGTCCAAGCCCCTCATACACAAAAACTCCTTTACCCCCTCCCTCCAGCCTTTCCTAGGGTGACCCCTATGCCACCTTCCCTCCACTACAGATTTGTACACTCTCCAAGTCATCCTGTTTCGCTCCATCCTGTCTAAATATTCAAAGCACGTCAATAACTCCTCCTCAGCCCTCTGGATACTTTTAGTAACCCTACACACTCTTGATCTCTATGCTACAAATTCTCTGCATAATATTTACACCATTGTTCTCAGGCACATCTCCACTGCCTCCAGCCTCCTTGCTGCAACATTCACAACCAATGCTGCACACCCACATAAGAGTACTGGTACCACAATACTTTGTGAATATCAAAATGTATACAATACCGACAGGTTGGTAAGTAAGACACATAGGCAACAGTAAGGCATCTTTAATCCGAAATGTTTCGCCTACACAGTAGGCTTCTTCAGTTGAGTACAGAAAGCAGGTAGGAGCAGCAGAAATGTGAAGATGATGTAATCAATCACCCTTGAAGATGTAGATTTGAGGCTGTCAGTCCCTCAGCCTGGCGAAGAGTTGTTCCATAGTCTGAAACAATGTGAAGACCAAGCGGCAGTGTGGAGACATATATACCGTCAGAAGGAGAGGTGTAGAATAGTAGAATAGAGAATGTAATCGATGAGAGGTCACGTCTCTCTCAGATCCAACCGTTCTCACTTGAAAAAGTTGTCCAAGGCGTTTTCTCTTCTGTACCAAGTAGGCTCCTGCCTACTTTCTATGCTCGACTGAAGAAACCTACTGTGTAGGCGAAACATTTCAGATTAATGATGCCTTACTGTTGCTTATGTGTCTTACTTACCAACCTGTCGGTATTGTATACCACTTTGATATTCACTCTGTCAGACACTGCAACACAATGGCATCTTGGTACAGAAGAGAAAACACCTTGGACAACTTTTTCAAGTGAGAATGGCTGGATCTGAGAGGGACGTGACCTCTCAGTGATTACATTCTCTCTTCTACTACTCTGCACCTCTCCTTCTGACAATATGTAAGTCTCCACACTGTCTCTTGATCTTCACATTGTTTCAGACTAAGGAACAGAACTCTTTTCCAGTCTGAGGCACTGACAACCTCAAATCTACATTTTCAAGGGTGATGGACAGATTACATCATCTTCACATCTCTGCTGCTCCTGCCTACTTTCTGTACTGGAATGAAGAAGCCTACCATGTAGGCAAAATGTTTCTGATTAAAGATGCCTTACTGTTGCCTATATGTCTTACTTAAAAACCACAATACTTTCATATGTTCTACTTTTTGCCTCCATGGATAATGTCATTTGTCTCAACAGAAAACTCAATGCACCACCCACCCTTTTCCCTCTCATCAATTCTATGGTTCACCTCATCTTTCATAGGCCCATTCCCCGATAAGTCTGTTACCAAATGTCTGAGCACATTCACTTCTTCCATACTCCCTCCTTCCAGCCCAATATTCAATCATTACCTAAAGTGTTTGTTACCCTCCACACCTTGCTGTTTCCTATGTTCACTTTCCTACATACCCTAACATGAGCCTTACTATCATCATAAAAACTCTTAACTGCTTTCAATAACCTACCACCTATTCCTTACACTTACATCTGCCACATTGCCCCTCTATCATATGCTTTATCTAAAATCCATGAATGCAATGAAAACCTCCTTACCTTTATCTTAATATTGTTCACTTGGTGTTTTAATGTAAACACTTGGTCTACATACCCCCACCCTTTCTAAAACCTCCTTGTTCAACTGCAATTCTGCTCTCCATCTTATCCTTAACTCTCTCAACAACTCTACCATATGCTTTACCTGGTATACTCATCAGGCTTTTTCCCCCCTATAATTTTTTAATACATTATTGTTCCCCATTCCTTTATACAAAAGGAACTATGAATGCTCTTTGCCAATCCCTAAGCACCTTCCCCTCTTTCCTACATTTATTGAACAGAAGTACCAACCACTCTAAAGCTTTATCCCCACCTACTTTAACATTTGTCTTGATCCCATCAGTCCCATCTACTTTACCCTCCTATCATTCTACCCACAGCCTCACACTCCTCCACCACTCACATCTGGCTCTTCTTCACTCTTAAAGAAGGTTATTCCTCCTTGGCTAATGAATGAAATCACTGTCTCCTTTCATTCATCAACATTTAACATCTCCTAAAAATATTCCCACCATCTTCCCAATACCTAACTACCCATCTAATAACTCTTCCCTTTTGAAACTGTCAAATTCATTTGTTCCCTAGGCTTTCTCAACCTGTTTCTTTTTCTTCTCACAAAATTTGTTGATAGAACATCACCCACTCTCATTTGCTCTCCTTTTACACTCCCTCAGCACTCTCTTAACCTCTCTTTTATTCTCTATATACTCCTCCCTTCTTATATCACTTCTGCTTTGTATAAACCTCTCATATGCTAACTTTTTCTCCCTTACCACTCCCTTCACCTCATCATTCCACTAGCTGCTCCTCTTCCCTCCCACACCCACTCTCCAATATCCACAAACTTCTGCTGCACTCTCTAATACTGCATTCTTAAATCTACCCCATACCTCTTCAGTGTCAATACTTATACTTACATTAGCCCATGTATCACCCAATAGTTTCTTATATCTTACCCTAACTACCTCCTCTAGTTTATAAACTTTCACCTCTCTCTTACTCGCTGATGTCATTCTCCTTGTACTTCATCTACCTCTTACTCTCATTGTAGCTACAATTAAATAATGATCTGATACATCTGTTGCCCTTCCATAAACATACACATCCAGAAGTCTACCCATCAACCTTTTATCCACCAATACACAGACCAACACACTGTCATAATGCCTTTTATCATATCTTGTATACTTATACTCTTTTTCTTAAAATATATATTGCCTTTTACCAAATCACTTTCTAAACAAAGTTAAATCAAAGACCCCCCATTATCATTTAGCCCTGGCATCCCAAACTTACTTACTACACCCTCAAGGTAGTATCACATAGTAATTTATACAGGAGAAGGGGTTACTAGCCCCTTGCTCCCGGCATTTTAGTCGCCTCTTACGACACACATGGCTTACAGAGAAAGAATTCTGTTTCATTTTCCCATGGAGATCACATAAAAGTGATTACACAAAATCTCCATGTACCTGACATCTGAATCAGAATAAAGAAGTTTCTTAACTAATACAGTGGACCCCCGCATAACAATCACCTCCGAATGCGACCAATTATGTAAGTGTATTTATGTAAGTGCGTTTGCACGTGTATGTTTGGGGGTCTGAAATGGACTAATCTACTTCACAATATTTCTTATGGGAACAAATTCGGTCAGCACTGGCACCTGAACATACTTCTGGAGTGAAAAAATATCGTTAACCGGGGGTCCACTGTATAACCAAGTACAGTGGACCCCCGCATAACGATTACCTCCGAATGCGACCAATTATGTAAGTGTATTTATGTAAGTGCGTTTGTACGTGTATGTTTGGGGGTCTGAAATGGACTAATCTACTTCACAATATTTCTTATGGGAACAAATTCGGTCAGTACTGGCACCTGAACATACTTCTGGAGTGAAAAAATATCGTTAACCGGGGGTCCACTGTACAGTCTCTCCTCACTTAGCGACGTACTCATTTACTGACGCCTCGGACTTACAACGGGCTCTCTGACCAGTATTTATACCTAAATAATGTATATTACAGCTGATTTTCTCTATTCTGTTTATTTCAATATACAGTACACTACTGTATAAACATGTAACAATATACCAGAAATGTTATAAATGGTGCAAAGGTGATATTAAAATATCAGAGATGGTTGACACAAACCCACTATTATTATAGTATGCTCCTCACTTAGCGATGAATTCGTTTAACGACGTGGTCTTAGGAACAGAACTCCGTCGTTAAGCGAGGAGAGGCAGTAATATGGTTACAAAAATTTAATCACTGAAGATATAATCCAAGTAAAAGCTTTGATAAACATCACAAATATTAACACACTCAACATAAGCCTGTTGGATGTTCAAGCCCCTAAAATTCAAAGCTTTCTTACCTCCTCCCTCCAACCATTCCTGGGACAACTCCTACCCTTCCTGCTTTCCACCCCAAGATTTATACACCCCTCTTTGTCATTCTATCCTTCTTTAACCTCTCTAAATATCCAAACCACTTCAGAAACCCTTCCTCTGCATAATATTCACATCACTTGCTGTTCTCAAACATAACATCTCCACTGCCTCTAGTTGCCTCCTCACTGCAACCTTCAAAACCCATGCTTCACACCCATACAAAAGCTTTGATACTGCCATATTCTGGTTCATTCCCTTTTTTGATTCCATAGATTATATTCTTTCCACCAATGCCTCAACACAACCTACCTTCTTCACGCTGCCTAATCTATGGGTCGTCCCATCTTTCATAAATTAGGATTAAGTAAATTAAACATAAAAGAAAGTTGAAATGATGTGTATATGGTATATGGCATTTAAGATCAACACTATGGAGGAACTTAGCAAAAAAACTAAACCGAAACAAAAAGCAGAGAAATTTGCTGAATAAAGGAGGTGGAGAAGCACTTAGTATGTAACTCTGGTTAGTGAAGGAGAAAACATCTGAGAGAACTGGTACTGAACATTCATACTTGTAAAGTACTAACGTGTATAAAAAGCAAGAAGAATGCATCTATAATACCAGCATGAAAACTATTTTGCACTTCACATGAGAATGGTTTATGCTGGATAAGTGATCAGCAGGCCTAGCAAGGGTTGAATGCTATGGAAAGACATATACTCCAGTGAGTAAATAACTTTGCACCTATACTCTCCTACTATTATCAGTTACCATGGTTAGCCACTACCATAATAAGCAGAGAGAAAAGCAATTTCCATTAAGAGAAAACACAATGATGTACAGTACAAACCTTTTCTTTGCGAGCTCTGAAAGGTGCTTGTCCTTCTATCATTTCATATATAAGGCACCCAAAGCTGAACCAATCTGGAGAGAAGGTGTATTTCTCATTGTCTATGACTTCTGGTGCTGAAAATGAATAAAGGAGTCAATGATCATTCAAAACATATATATAGAAAACCAATATCAATAATAATATAATCAAAACAAGCACTAAACCCAAAAGAGTTATACAGCAAAACAGCCACACAGAAAACAACTAAAATACAAATTAACCACGTTGATAATAAATCAAAATCATAAAGTTGCTGAAATATGGCAGAGCAGACATGTGATTAATAAAGCACACAACAAAGAAGGACACTTGTGTTAGATGGGTGTTTCACCTACTTGACACTATCCTGTATCATGTCCCTGAATCCCTTCACTAAATATTACCCTGCTCACACTCCAACACATCGTCAGGTCCCAAATACCATTCGTCTCCATTCACTCCTATCGAACACGCTCATGCACGCCTGCTGGAAGTCCAAGTCCCTCGCCCACAAAACCTCCCTTACCCCTTCCTTCCAACCTTTTCGAGGACGACCCCTACCCCGCTTTCCTTCTCCTACAGATTTAAATGCTCTCCATGTCATTCTACTTTGATCCATTCTCTCTAAATGACCAAACCACCTCAACAACCCTCTTCAGCCCTCTGACTAATACTTTTATTAACGCCACACCTTCTCCTAATTTCCACACACCGAATTTTCTGCATAATATTTACACCACACATTGCCCTTAGACAGGACATCTCCACTGCCTCCAACCACCTCCTCGCTGCAGCATTTACAATCCAAGCTTCACATCCATATAAGAGAGTTGGTACCACTATACTTTCATACATTCCCTTCTTTGCCTCCATAGATAATGTTTTTTTGTCTCCACATATACCTCAATGCACCACTCACCTTTTTTCCTTCATCAATTCTATGGTTAATCTCATCCTTCATAAACCCATCAGCTGACACGTCAACTCCCAAATATCTGAAAACATTCAATTCTTCCATACTCCCTCTCTCCAATGTGATATCCAATTTTTCTTTATCTAAATCATTTGATACCCTCATCACCTTACTCTTTTCTATGTTCACTTTCAACTTTCTACCTTTACACACCCTCCCAAACTCATTTACTAACCTCCGCAACTTTTCTTAAGAATATCCCATAACCACAGGATCATAAGCAAAAAGTAACTGTGTCAACTCCCATTTTGTATTTGATTCCAAATAATTTAATCTCACTCCTCTCCCCAACACCCTAGCATTTACTTCTTTTACAACCCCATCTATAAATATATTAAACAACCATGGTGACATTACACATCCCTGTCTAATACCTACTTTTACCAGGAAGTAATCTCCCTCTCTTCTATACACTCTAACCTGAGCCTCACTATCCTCATAAAAACTCTTTACAGCATTTAGTAACTTACTACCTATTCCATATATTTGTAATATCTGCCACATTGCTCCCCTATCCACTATCATATGCCTTTTCTAAATCCATAAATGCAATGAAAACTTCCCTACCTTTATCCAAATACTGTTCACATATATGCTTCAATATAAATACTTGAGCTACACATCCCCCTACCCACTCTAAAGCCTCCTTGCTTATCTGCAATCCTACTCTGTCTTACCTCTAATTCTTTCAATAATAACCCTACTGTATTCCCCTATAATTTTTACAATCTCTTTTGTCCCCCTTCCCTTTATATAAAGGAACTATACATGCTCTCTGTCAATCCCTAGGTACCTTCCCGTCTTTCATACATTTATTAAACAAAAAAAAACCAACCACTCCAACAATATATCCCCCCCCCCCTGCTTTTAACATTTCTGTCATGATCCCATCAGTTCCAGCTGCTTTACCCCCTTTCATTCTACGTAATGCCTCATGCACCTCCCCCCCACTACTCATACTTTCACTATCCTACCTTTCTTACAACAGTTGTTTATATCTCACCCTAACTTCCTCCTCCCTTAGTTTATACACCTTCACCTCTCTCTTGCTGTTGCCATTTTCCTTTTGTCCCATCTACCTCTTACTCTAACTGCAGCTACAACTAAATAATGATCTGATATATCAGTTGCCCCTCTATAACATGTACATGCCTACCCATCAACCTTTTATCCACCAATACATAACCTAAAACTACTTTCATTACGTGGTATATCATACCTTGTATACTTATTTATCCTCTTTTTCATAAAATATGTATTATTTATTACCAAACCTTTCAACACATAGCTCAATTAAAGGCTCTCCATTTTCATTTACCTCTGGCACCCCAAATTTACCTACTACTCCCTCCACAACATTTTTACCCACTTTAGCATTGAGATCCCCAACTCCCCATGCACTTACTCAACATTTCCCAAAATCTCTCTCTCTCTCCTCTTCACTTCTCTCTTCTCCAGGTGCATAAACACTTACTATAACCCACTTTTCACATCCAACCCTTATTTTACACCACATAATCCTTGAATTTATACATTTATATTCCCTTTTTCCTGCCATAACTTATCCTTCAACATTATTGCTACTACTTCTTTAGCTCTAACTCTATCTGAAACCCCTAACCTAACCCCATTTATTTCTCTCCACCAAAACTCTCCCACCCCCTTCAGCTTTGTTTCACTTAAAGCCAGGACATCCAACTTCTTCTCATTCATAACATATACAATCATCTCTTTCTTATCATTCGGACAACATCCACACACATTCTAACATATCACTTTGACAGTTTTCTTCTTTTTCTTTTTAGTAGGCTATATGGGAAAAGGGGTTACTAGCTCATTGTTCCTGGCATTTTAGTTGACTTTTACAACGCGCATGGCTTACAGAGGAAAGATTCTTATTCCATTTCCCCATGGATATGAAAGGAAAAGCAATAAGAACAAGAACTATTTATTTATTTTATTAAGATAAAATTAAAGAAATCTTAGATGAGTGTGCATACAATAAACGTGTAAATGTATGTGTAGTGTGACCTAAGTGTAAGTAGAAGTGGCAAGATGTACCTGAAATAATGCATGCTTGAGACAGAAAAAAGACACCAGCAATCCTGCCAACATGTAAAACAAATACAGGCTTCCTTTTTACACTCACTTGGTAGGATGATAGTACCTCCCCAAATGGTTGCTGTCTACCAACCTACTACGTATATATATTCACCACTCACTATAAGCTAAGGATAAAAATATTTTAAGGTGAGTAATGCGTGTACTGTGTGTGCAATTCTTTTTAGGCCTAGCTATATTGCTCACTTAATAAATGATAGAATATACATGTAATCAGACTTTTATATGCATTTGAAAGTGAAAAGAGGTTATGATTCACTTTACAGCAGTAGCCCAGAACCTAACCTGCTGTATGGGCAGGGCCCTCCTGTACTTTATTAAACACCCTGAAATGTGTATAAGTGTCCTTTTCCAAAGATTGTTAGTATCACTTTACCCTTGACAATTATATGCAAGCCCTACTCTTAATTAATCATTTGCAAAATAAGCTGCAATAAATACCTCATTTGTTGCATTTGTCCATTTACCTAACACACTGTCAGTAGTTTACCAATAATTAATAATCTTATTAACCACTGCAACATGATAAATGAAAGAGTTGAAGAACTAACTTCGCTTTCAAGTTTCCATGATCCAACTTGAAACTGAAGCAACTCTTCCAGCTACTTTCAATGACTATAGTACACAAATTTTAAAATAAAACATATTTTGTACAAAAAAGGTTATAAGTAAGAAAGTATTACAGAATAATGTACAAAACACTAAGCTATCCATTCAGAGAACACATGAATATTTCACTGTATGTACTCACCCATGTATCCCACGGTTCCCACTCTTCCACGCACCATCTCTCCTTCAGGTATTTGAACAGCTAAACCAAGGTCAGATATTCGGACATGACCATGGTCATCTAGAAGTATATTTTCTGGTTTGCAATCACGGTACACAATGCCCTGGGTGTGTAAATGACCCAATCCACACAAAACCTAAAGAAAAAAAGGTATCATTTAAAGAATAATCTCAAATATAAATTTGTTATACTTGATAATCTCATTTAGCGGCTTGATTTATATCAAGATAACGCTGATGAAAGAATTCAGGGAAACCAGTTAGCCAGACTTGAATCCTGGAGGTGGGAAGTACAGTGCCTGCACTCTGAAGGATGGGTGGGAATATTTGCAGTTTGGAGGGCCATCTGAACTGAAGTATAGCTGCACTTCTGTCAAGACAGTGATGGAGTGATCGTAAAAGTGTTTCTTCTTTTTCGGGTCACCCTACCTCAGTGGTAGACATTCAGTATGTTAAAAAAATAATATTTTAATCATAGGCAAAAATCTGTTTCAAGATTACAGTATATGGACTTTCTGACTTTAGTAATGTCAAAATGACAAATATCCTTGCAACATTTCTGTGGCAGCAACACCATCTATCTTCAAACTGATAATTTTTTTTTTTTTCAACAAACCGGCCGTATCCCACCAAGGCAGGGTGGCCCAAAAAGAAAAACGAAAGTTTCTCTTTTTAAATTTAGTAACTTATACAAGAGAAGGGGTTACTAGCCCCTTGCTCCCGGCATTTTAGTCGCCTCTTACAATACGCATGGCTTACGGAGGAAGAATTCTGTTCTACTTCCCCATGGAGATAAGAGGAAATAAACAAGAAGAAGAACTAGAAAGAAAATAGAAGAAAACCCAGAGGGGTGTGTATATGTATGCTTGTACATGTATGTGTAGTGTGACCTAAGTGTAAGTAGAAGTAGCAAGACGTACCTGAAATCTTGCATGTTTATGAGACAGAAAAAAGGACACCAACAATCCTACCATCATGTAAAACAATTACAGGCTTTCGTTTTACACTCACTTGGCAGGACGGTAGTACCTCCCTGGGCGGTTGCTGTTTACCAACTTACTACCTAAAAGACTGATAAATGTCTTTTAGAAAATACAAAGCATCAGATTATCCCAAACATCACCTGTACCTTATTTTGTACACACTAACAAGTAAGTAAATTTTGACCTCTTCCATGAACAGTTGTTAGTGAGAGCCAGCAAGAAAATAAAAGTTTTAGCAACACTGTGCAAATAGGAAAAGCAGTAAGAAAGATAAACATGATGACAATTTAATAATCGTCTCCATGGGGAAGTGGAACAGAATTCTTCCTCCATAAGCCATAAGTGTTGTAAGAGGCAACTAAATTGCCGGGGGCAAGGGGCTAGTAACCCCTTCTCCTGTATATATTACTAAATTTAAAAAGAGAAACTTTCATTTTTCTTTTTGGGCCACCCTGCCTTGGTGGGATACGGCCAGTTTGTTGAAAGAAGGAGAATTTAATAATTGTCATCACGTTTATCTTTTTCTTACAGTAAGGAAGATAAAGAATATAAGCAGAATTAAAAAATAGAAAACTGACCTAATCCAGCACAATGAAAAAGCAGCAATATTTTTATATAATTTGCAAACAAACTAAAAAATATATATACATGAGAAAAGGTACAATTTAAAGCTTACATACCTCAGCTGCATGGAAAACTGCTCTCTCTTGGTCAAAACCTGGTTCTCCACCCATGTTATAGATATGAAATTTGAGGTCCCCACCATTCATTATTGTCAAAACGAGACATAAGGAATCTTTTGTTTCATAAGCATATGCTAGGCTAACCTGCAATAAAGAATGTGGTGTGTAATGCAACACAAACTCACAGCCCCAATGCTATACATTCAACAGCAAATAAGAAGATTAACCTTTCCAATGTCATACTAGTTAACAAGGGTTCCAAATTTTTTTTTAACATCTTCAAGGAATTTAATCATAGCTGAGCCTTCAATCAAACCGACCGTTTTGAATAATAAATTTACATGCACCTGAATACCTGTGTGCATAAAGATGAATTCTCAGGTCTTCCATATACGTAATTAAGAATTACTGTAAATTGCTAAAAGGAGTCATATCATGGTATTTGTGAAGAAAATTCATGAGCCAGCAAAAGCAAATGACAAAATAAAATAGAAAAATAGAGTAGGGCCCTGACTTACAATATTATGACTTACAGTCAAGCCCCCAACTTACGACATTAATGAAATCCAGAAAATTCATCCTCTTAGATGTTCAGAACTTGGAACCCATTTTCCCCGTAGAAACAAGTTATACTGGAATAATACATTTCCGAGTCATAGTATACAATAAATAATTTAATTTAAAAAATCCTAATTTTTTATATTTAGTAATGTTCCGTTTTACTTATAAGTACAGTGATACCTCTCATATCTGAACTATATGGGCTGAGACCGGTTCGGAAATACTGAGTTTCCGAATACTTGAGGGGGAAAAAACGCACACCTGCACCATCACATCACCATCCGTGCCCCATCATATCGCCATCGGCGACGGCATTGTAGGTTTAAAAGACGAGTCCAACATCGTCTGGCAGTGGGACCAGACACTCTGGGCTTGAATAACAGCCTCCTGGATATCACAGACCACAGGACCATAACTTTTCAAATGGGCTGTGGACAGTGAATGCTCCAAATACTCCAAAAGTGTTTTGACACCTGCCCTTACTACTGAAGATTTTGGTCTTGGAGGCATTGGGCCGTCGTCATCATCACTTTCGGAATGTTCCACTGATTCTGCAATCTCTGCATCCAACAGAGATTGCACACCAGGGTCACCTTCGTCACACTCTAGCCACCAATCTTCCACGTCATCTGTGGCAGAAAACTCACTTGTGTAGGCCATAATCTTACCATGAGCCTTCTTGATATCACAGAGAGTCAACTTTGCCAAATCATACTCAGCCACAAGGGGCGGCTAGTTCCTAATCAGCGCACGCCACACGAATTAAAAAAATATATTCGAAGAAATACAAAAATTGAGCTAATCACATAGAAAAATAGCTCAACTCTTTGCCAACACTCTGGTACAAGAATCATTGTTCTACAATGTTCCTACAAGGAATTATAGTCATTTATAACACATGTGGTGACACCGCCACGTGTAGCATGCCTGCTCAAGTCAATTTTCATTTTTTCAATTTTTTTTTATTTATTTCTTGTATTATTCTTTCTAATATTATAATTGACAATTTGGCATCATAACAGAGTGGGTAGAGCTAATACAGAGTCTGAAAGCCAATCAGGAACCATCTGGGAATAATTGCATACATCAACAGGAATTCCCGAGTCTCATGATGCCAGGGAATATGCTTCAATATTACGCTCATATCAACACTACGGCTTATTTACCTAACGCAATTGATCTAATATGACATAATAAACAATATAAATAACAGAAACATGATAGATATTCCAGAATGAATAATATTTGGCATAATATTGAGCAGTAGGCTGCGGTCGGCTGGAGGGATAAAGTTACCACTAAGAGGGTTGGGGATTATCCTATGTCCTCTTATCCCCTCCTGGGATATACACTCATAATGTATCAGAATGGCTGTTCAGATGTTTCAGTAATAATTTTAGAATTCTGCGCTTTCCCAGGGCCTGCTCAGATATTGGCGAGGTTCAGATAATGGCAGACCGGATATGCAAGGTATCACTATTGTTCAATTAATGTAGAAGCTTTCAATGGATATACTGTTGGAGTGAGAGCAAGGTAACATTTATGAACGGATCAGGAAAATCAATTAGCTGGAGTTGAGTCTTGGAGGTGGAAGGGCAGTGGATGCACTCTAAAGGAGGGGTAAAGTGTTACAGTCAGAGGGTAATCTGATTGTGATGTCAGCACATTTTCGGAAAGACAGCAATTGAATAAATGATAGTGAATGTGTTTCCTTCTTTAGATGATCCTGTCCTGGCTGGAGATATTTACTAAATGAAAAAAAAATGGAAATGCATATGCTCAAGGAACTCTTATGAAAAAGGACTGTGAAGGAGCAAGTCATTGTAATTTGGCATTTCAACCAGAGAAAAATACTGGGCAGCAAGAGACTAAAATGGTTAAACAGTCGACCAAATTCCTCAATGTAATAGGTACTGTAATGAAAAGTTTATTCGGGTATCAGCATATTAGACTGAGCTATTCAGGCAAGAGAAAGCAACAGATAATAAAAAGACTCGACAAACTATCTGAACCCACTTTGAAAAAGCAATCATATTTTATTTGAAGTAATATACTGAGGAGGAAAAAAGGAAAAATTAACAGGAATGATTACATTATAAATGAAAATCTGATAATGTAAGTGTTCCAGGAAAACAAAACAAAATAAAATATTGCAAGGAACAAAAATAAACACATAACATGACATTTTCAAACTTTTACAAAGTTAATACAATGCCTATAGAACAAAGATAAAAAAAATTTAATTCAAACATGCTCATAGTAATTTAGTTATAAATAAAAGAAACATAGTAAAATATACTTACAACAAATCTGGAATTTATTTTTTGTAGAATTTGCTTCTCTATAAGAACCATCGCTTCACCCTTTCGCTTTTTTATTCTCTTCTTTTCTAACTTCTTACATGCATACATCTTGCCTGTTGCTCTAACCTGACATGCACACACTTCACCAAACCCACCCTTCCCTAATACTCTGTACATTCTGAAGGTCTTGTATGTAACTGGTTGACTGCAAAGTAAAGATAAAACAAAGATGAAAACAATGTTCAATAGTTATAAAAATATTATAAAAACACAAGTGGAAATCATTTGGATAATCACTTACTGGTAATATTGTTTTTTTTTATTAAATAAGTTTTGAAGGATACCGTTAGGACACCAATACAAAAATAAAATTATCACCAATTACACCTTTGCATTTGGAAATATATTCTGAAGATTTAAAAATGTCTGAAAAATGAGATTAGTAATGGAAGATAAGAAAACAATTGCTAGAAACAACAATGTTGAGGATATAAAAACCACATATACTAAAAAAATAAATCACAATACTATAGCTGAAGCAATTCACTACCAACCTCATATACAGACCTGTAGAAAATTACTACTGTAAACTGGAAACTGATCTTTAACCTATGATATCCGCTTAATTTTTTAGCAACTTATAAAAATCCAAACGAAATCTTATCTTATCCCTTAATACATAACACTTTTGCTTACAATTCTTGGCATGAATTATTCATTACTTCTCCCTTTGTTTAGGATGGCATCTAAAGGAAGTTATTAGAAAAAATTAAACATAGTGAACGCGGTATGTTGATGGTAATAATATGGCTCTGGGCCACATTAAATATCGTGTAGCTATGTAGGTAGGTATAGGTATGTAGCCCAAGTGGACTACATACCTACATTATTATTATAACTGATATTTATACGTATGTGTACCTGTACCTAAGTATGCCTTTACTCGGTGTTATTTCTTCTAAAAATGGTGTTACATGAGAATGGGAGTGCTTCTCTTTATTTATTCTACTGTATCAACATGGAAACAACTTGTACACAATGTAAAGTGATGAAAACCAGACACGTTTGTCTGGTTTGTTTACATTACATGTGGGTTGGGGAGGGCTGCCCTTCCTGGCTACCCATACTTCCCAATCTGACTTCCTACAAATAAAACTCACCTCTCACCCTACATTAAGACTACAAATATTTTAAAGTAATTAATGAATGTACTGTATATGTATTTTATTATAAAAAAAGAGGAGCTTATGACGTTTCGGTCCGATCTCTTTCTGACAGACTTAGGGAGTACAAAAATAGTGTAAGGCTTGCCGACATTAACAATGCTCTTTTCTGTCACGTCAGAGATCACAGCCATCCTATTGACTGGTCTTCTGTTAAAACTGTCTTCCCTACTTCCAACTTTAACAGTCGCCATCTGGTTGAATCCTCCCTAATACACAACTTTCCTTGTGTGAATCTTAGTCCTGGCTTCATCTCTGTAGATGCCTTCCTCTCCCACTACATTGTAAAATGCTCCAAACTTCAGAACACCCGTGACTTAGCCCGATTCCTCCTGTTTTCTTCTTCTCCCTCTTTCCCTTTCTTCTTTCCTTTTTTCTCTTCTGGGTTGTCTTTCTTTCTTCCTGTGTTTCTGTTCCTTCATTATTTATTTCATTATTTCCCCTCCCCCCCACCTCTGTGCACTTGCTCTCCCTCTGTGGGCACCTAGCTCCCTTGCAGTGCTCCTCTTTCTTTGTATCTGACTGGCTCCTCCTCCTTAATTCCCCATTACTACTTCCTTCCATCTCCGCCCCTACTACTACCGCTACTACTACTACTACTACCACTACTACTACTACCACCACCACTACTACTACCACTACCTCTTCCTGCCTATATATACCCGTCCTGCTCTACTTCTCGTTAGTGTGACTTTGTAAATGGTCCAAGTCTGACCGAAACGTTGTCGTAAGCTCCTCTCTTCTATGTGTGGGTTGTGTATCATTCCAGTCACGGTATTGTGCCTTTTTTTTGTTATGTATTTTTTCGCTCTTGGGAGCTTTAATTAAATGTAGTATATTATGTGTGGGTGGGATGGGCTGACCTCGCTGGCTACCATACCTCCCAGACCTGACTTCCTACAAATAAAACTCACCTCTCACTCTACATTAACCCCTTGATTGTCGCAACCCCCAATCCTGAGGTGTCTCCTGGTGTCGCAAAATTTAAAAAAAAAAAAAAAAAATTTCTTATGAAATGATAAGAGAATCTTTTCCCAATTGCAATGATACCAAAAGTACGAAATTTGATGGAAAACTGACGGAATTACGCTCTCAATAAGTTAGCGACCTTGGCGATATTTACAAATCGGCGATTTCGCCCACTTTGAGCCCTATTTTCGGCTAATTCCATTGTTCCAGTTGACCAAACTCATAGCTGTTTCTTTACAACTCTGTTTTTTCTATCGATTGAGTACAAGAAACTGCCCATTTACCAATTTCAACTAGCCAATAACGTGGTCAAATTTGCAATTTGGCCAATTTCACGAAAATTTAAAAATATGACAATTTCAAAATAAGGTCCAGAATGAACAATGCAGACATTCCTGGCTCTGAAATAACATTTTCTTTGTTTATCAGTCATGTCTCCAGGCCCCTCTGATATTACTCTTGCTTTCTATTTTGAATTTTTATTCACACAAAAAATAGAAGATTTGCTGTTATGCAGACTACTGCAGTATTTAATAACTGTACAAATAATGTCAACCCATTCATGACTGCATATTAGAATGGCTAGTTGGACATTTATTGGACAATGACATCATTTGTTTACTTTTGAACATCAGCAAAAAATCAAACATTTCCCCTACTTTGAGCTCCATTTCCAGGTTATTTTTATAGTAAAACCAATCAAAATCACCTCTATTTCTATAATATGTTTTCCATTCTATCAAATGAGACCAAGAAAACGAGTTTACAACCATAAATGCTATACGAAAATAGACCACAAAGTTGGCAATTAAAAAAAAAAAAAAACGGTCAGTTTTTTTTGCTCATTATGCACTGCATGCTCCAGGATTTTTTGTATATGGTGCACACTGACCACACAGACCCATTCTCTCACATGTGGGCCTACCAGCTTTCTCCTGGTTGATTTGAAGCCGCTAGAATTTATGAGTACATATACGTCAAACACGGTACCTCGTAAGACGTATATATACGACTAAAACAGTCGAAGGGTTAAGACTACAAATATTTTAAGTAATGGGTGTACTGTGTGTGTATTTTACTTTTTATAGTTTTTAATGCCTAATTCTATTGCTAATGTAATATATGTTAGTGTAAACTTGTTACCTGGCATTTATATGGATTTATAAGTGGAAAAAATGGCGTTCTGCTTTCCGGCGATGTCTGCTTACCGGCAGTAGCCTGGAACCTAACCTGCCATATAAGTGGAGCCCTACTGTATAAGCAACACTTCTGCAAGTGGCAGGACTCCATCAGGTGAGCATTAAATGCCCTAATTTTTTTATTTTAATCCTATAACACTTAGAAAAATTTTCTCTTTATTTCTATAAAAAAAAAATTATTTTTCAAAATATTCGGGGCATTGGGTGAGAGAGCATATACATGTATATACGTTTGGACCTTTAGGGGTTAAATAACGAAAACGAATTAAGTGAAGTAAAATATTATATTCATAATTAATTTTCTTAATTCAATTTAAAACATGCAACACAAGAGACAAGTCCTTGCTTGCAGATACTATACCTTTCTAGCCATTTCCATTGTAGATATCTATTAAAGTACATGGAAGCCTCAAATTCCTTGAAGGGCTCATTGGCCAGGAAGAGTTTAACATCTGCAGCACACCCGAGGAAGAGCTCTTTCCCTGCAGTGTCGAGGTTCTCCTTACATGTTGAAGTTAAGGACTCGTTCAATATACCTACTATCTGCCATTCTGAAGACTGGGAAACAATAATAATGATTATATACATTTGTGCATTATCAAAATTTTATTTTAGAAGTGTCTTCTCTAGTAATCTAGTATGCATGAAAAGAAAAAGTATTGAGAATTCTGGATTCAAAGAATAGTCCTGTTGTAATGAGGTTAGTGCAAAACCTCCTATAATTACGATCTACTAAGCCCCAGTTTTCCTAACATTTTGCTATTGCTCAGACTATTTTTGATCCTACTAATTAACAGCAAACTCACAGGAAATTGTTAACCCACAAGCATTATACAGCACTTGGGGAGGATAGGGATAACAAGGTAGCTCAGATTCCTTGGATCAAGACCCCTTCACTAGCATCAATGTTCTCCCCCTTGATGGAGGTCTTGCTAATTACGTCACATTAATTTATGTTTCATTATAACCAGGACAATTTTCTTCACCTCCTGTTTTGCTGGAGATGTAGTGAAGCACAACTCGTCCAACTAATAACTGAAAATGAAGATCCTACAAGTTCTCTCTCACAAACTTTAGTCTGTGTTGTGAACCTGGCAGGTGCCAGATTGTGCTATAAGCCATGGCCAGCAACTGTCGCAATTGCCACTAAACAGGAAAAACAAAAAAGCTTTTAATAATTTGTGATTAAATAGATTACCTGGCCAAAACACTATTTATGCTATATACAAAATATACAAGAATTACCAACACAATCTAACTCCAATAAAGAACAATGAATACAACTCGATAATAAACAGTAAATACAACAACAGTGGACCCTCGACTAATGATTTTAATCTGTTCCAGAGAGCATGTCCTTAGCCGAATTTATCGTTAGCCGAATTAATTTTCCCCATAAGAAATTAATCCGTTCCAGACAGCCAAAAGTATTAAAAAAAATTTTTTTTTTGTGAAATATACATTTCCCTACAAAGAAAACAATGAGACATGCACAATAAATACATAAATAAATACTAAAATGACACTTACCTTTATTGAAGAGTACTGATGAGTGATGAGACACTTTCTTGAACGCTCTGGGATTTTCAGAGTGATATATGAATAAAGGCTTCATTTGGCTATCCCCACTAGCATTACAACAAAACATGAGAGTTAGCCTGTCTTTCATAGGCTTGTGTCCTAGGAGTGCCTTTTCCTCCTGAGTAATGTAGGTACTGTTTGGCATTTTCTTCCAGAACAGGCCTGTTTCGTCACAATTGAACACTTGTTGGGGTTGGAATTTTTCAGCTTCCCCATGCCTTATCACACTGTGTATGCCACTACAATTCTTAAATCTCTCAAACCAACCTTTGCTGGCCTGAAATTCACCAATATGAGCACTAGTTCCAGGCATTTTTTCCTGTTCACCTGGGTGTTACTCGACTGGTGTGGGTCACATCCTGGGGGACAAGATTAAGGACCCCAATGAAAATAAGTTACAGTCCTCGGTGATGCACTGACTTTCTTGGGTTATCCTGGGTGGCTAACCCTCTGGGTTAATTGTTTCTCATTAAGCCACACCAACAACACTCACTCCACATCTTCGAGTAGTATAGCTGATGGTGGTGCAGCAACAGCAGCAGCTGACCGTGGTGCAGCAGCAGCTGACAGTGGTGCAGCAGCAGCTGACGGTGGTACAGCAGCAGCTGACAGCGGTGCAGCAACAGCTGACCGTGGTATGATAGTACAGTATTTCGATAGTATTTCTCACCCTTTTTACCACAGGGTTGGCACTAGAAGCTTTCTTTGGACTCATGGTAGCTTATTTAGCAGTTACAAGCACTAAAAACAATGGAATAATACAAAATATATCACATGTATCCGTGAAACCGTCCGCCATGGCTTGTAAACAATGGCACACTAGCTGAAGACAGGGCAGCTGAGACGCTCAGGCTGGACAGACAGGCGGACGCATTCGGGACGAATGTCCTTACCTGAGTTTTTTATCATTGGTCAATCCAATATTTTTACGCAAAAACACATCATTACTCTATTTTATCATTAGTCGATGCCATCACTGGTCGAGGGTCCACTGTATTATAAAGAACTGGAGGCCATAATACGTGCACCAGCTGATGACCTAAGGGTGAGTAGATAGCATAATTACCTTACAAAAGAGTAATCAAACCATCCACTCAGCTCCTCCAATAAAAAAACAAATCAAAATGCCACAGTACACCTAACAGTCACCAGACAATTTTGGATTGTATACCACTGCTAGATGGCTCTGGTCAGAGAATAAAGATGGCAAAAATTACCAAAGGATTGTGATTGGTCTTGCATTTTCCAATAATTATACTTGTACTTAGCACATGCAGCAACTACCATAGCAAGTCAATGTGTCCACCAAGCTAAGTTACCTGGTATTGTTGATTATCTTCCTGTCTACACAATGCTTTCACTGCATACCATTCATAATCTTTGTCTTAGTAATATCTTATGTGACACACCTGCCACAGAAACACCCTTAAAATAATCTAACATCACTGAAGCAGTTTCTAAGGAACTTAATAAGAAGGATAAGCTTAGTGAGGTAACCCTGTGAAAACCAGCTTCTTTTCCCTCCCAACTTCTCATCATAAAGGTCAACTGCTATTATTTTTACTATAATACTGGATAAATCACTTCAATGAACCTTACACTTTGTTGTAGATATTTGTTAAAAATGGTATGTGCAACTTCATGCCTCTTCTCGTCCACCTCAAGTTGGTACCTTTCCTGCAAACAAAAAAGTATAAGTATGACCTAAATGTTTATCTAGCAATGGAGTGAAGCACCAGTGAAGGCTGTAATGCCAAGCTATCACTGAATCATGGCTATATTCTGAAAGCATAAGAGTTCATTAATATCTGCCGAAGTCAGAGTTATGAATTAGACAATCTTACAGCCTAGAGAGAAAAAAAAAAACAGCTTTTGTCCATACTACCAACTGTTTAGTGCTTGCCCAAATTAATTAAGTCTGTCTCGGAGATACATCCCACACCTATTACCGAACATTCAATTAATAACGCTCAACATGAACTAACCAAGTACGTACACTGGAACCCCAAATATCGGCCATAATCAGTTCCAGAAGGTTGGCCTAAATTCGAAGCAATATTTCCCCTAAGAATTAATGTAAATACAATTAATCCATTCCAGACACCCAAAAATACTAACAAAAAAATACATTTTTTTAAAGATTAATTACAGTTTTACATACACAAAACAATGAGAACTAAATAAAATAAATAAATGAACATTTAAATCACTATTACATACCTTTATTGAAAACTCTTGTTGGAGGAAGGGTTCTTGGGAGGGAGGACTGATTGTTTGGAAGGGGAATCCCCCTCCATAAGGACTCCCCCCCTTCCAAACTCCCTGTTTCCCTGCTACACTCCCTGCATGCCTGCTACACTCCCTGCCTCCCTTCCAAACTCCCTGTTTCCCTGCTACACTCCCTGCCTGCCTGCTACACTCCCTGCCTGCCTGCTATACTCCCTGCCTGCCTGCTACACTCCCTGCCTGCCTGCTACACTCCCTGCCTGCCTGCTATACTCCCTGCCTGCCTGCTATACTCCCTGCCTGCCTGCTACACTCCCTGCCTGCCTGCTACACTCCCTGCCTGCCTGCTACACTCCCTGCCTGCCTGCTACACTCCCTACCTCTTTCCACATCTTCCATTGGGCCCATGGTGACTTATTTCACAGTTGCACTTAATAAACAAGCATAAAAACAAATGAATCTTAAGGAAATGTTTGGATGAATGCGCGGAGTATATGCTCATTCACCGAGAGACACACAGAGACTTACTCAGCCAGCGGGAGGTGGGGTGACACATATAATACAGACGATTTACAAGGCACCAGCCAAAATACGGAGCAAAATTTCCACCCAAAAACTGGCCTAAATACGAATCGGCCGATAAACGCAGTGGCCGATATTCAAAAACTAACGTTTCAAACACAAGCCAACTACCCTATGAAAATAAATCAATTACGGTTGACTTGTATCATTTTTACTTAATATATCAAAATCAACATAAGCTACTAATGCCACAGTCCAGCACTATAAATTAACCATTTTCATTAACAAAATAATTTTGTGTGGTTTAGTGAAACACTCGATACATACATCATAACTGCTTAGTAGTCATACAGAACCAACTGTTTTATTTGGAAGAATTAGTGTTAAAAATGACTAATAAGCAAACTTTTAAATTTTTTTTTTTTAACAAGTCGGCCGTTTCCCACTGAGGCAGGGTGACCCAAAAAGAAAGAAAATCCCCAAAAGAGAAAGTACTTTCATCATCATTCAATACTTTCACCTAACTCACACATAATCACTGTTTTTGCAGAGGTGCTCAGAACACAACAGTTTAGAAGCATATACGTATAAAGATACACAACATATCCCTCCTAACTGCTAATATCCCCGAACCCCTCCTATAGAGTGCAGGCACTGTACTTCCCATTTCCAGGACTCAAGTCCGGCTATACAAAAATAATCGGTTTCTCTGAATCCCTTCACTAAATATTACCCTGCTCGCACTCCAACAGATCGTCAGGTCCCAAATACCATTCGTTTCCATTCACTCCTATCGAACACGCTCATGCACGCCTGCTGGAAGTCCAAGCCCCTCGCCCAAGCTATCCCTCTAAAGCATATTTTACTCAAGGGCTTATAGAACAAGTAAAATAGTATAGAAAAATTCAACCTAGTAGAAATTTTAAGACATCAAGTGGAAAAACGACAAACTCTCCACATGTCACTTTAGTGAAAATCGCCTATAAACCTTTCTAACATAGAGAATACTGATGAACTTACCAAATGTCACTTTTGAGACAGACGGTTGCCCACAAACATTTACAACGTGTTTGCAAATGAAACCAACCATACAATTTTGATCAAATTCATCTCATTATCAGGACTAATGAACAATTTTGTTTAGAAAACACAATTTTCAAAACTGTCAGTGGTGACAATAAGACAGGAGGAGGTGCATTTCCTTCTTAAATAGCTTGACCAAGAAAAAGGCTGTGGGCCCAAACAAGTTGAGCCCAAGATTGCTGAAATGTGCAGACCAGCCAGCAGCACCTCTAACTCATCTTTCAGCACTGCCTAGTACATTGTAAATGGCCTTCTGTGTGGAAGGAGTCAAATGTAGTCTCTGCTCACAAAAAGAAGAGCAGAGAAGAAATCAGCAATTACAGACCAGTGTCACTCCTGTCAATCACTGGTAAGATCCTTGAGACAATAATCTCAAGACAAATGACAGTTTTTTGATTGCCACTCACTACTTTGTGACCGTCAATATGGCTTCAGGAAAGGTTACTCTGCTGCTGATCTGTTGTTAAACCTTTCCACTAAGTGGCACCAGTCACTGGATGAATCT